CTTCACACACACACACACACACACACACACACACACACACACACACACACACACACACACACACACACACACACACATTTATATATATATATATATATATATATATATATATATATATATATATATATATATATATATATACTCCATATAAATGTAAAGACCTAAATGTTAAAAATGTTTGAACGATGTCAACCAGTTGGGAATTTTTAAAATATTTATACATTGACCGGGGAGATTTTCAAAAATATTGGAACGTTAATTGGGGGGGAGGGAGGAGTTCGAACATGCTCACCAAAAAAGGCGAGATTACGTCGACTAATTTTTTTGACTTATCATTTCAATATTTATTGTTAAAAACGGTATACTAGTTTCATGATAAACTTCACTTTTACTGACTTTCAATAAAAACACTGCTCAGTATAAAAACACTGCTCCGAAGATTTGCCGCTGTATATATATTTATATATATATAATCTAAATCATATATAAATAAATGCACACATTATTTTTCATTTTATGTATAATTTTAAGATATATATATATATATATATATATATATATATATATATATAACGCTTGAAATTCGATAGATTTTATAAATTTTTGCATTAATTATAGTTTTTTACCAGCATATATATATATATAATTAACAGATATAATTTAAAATAAATATTAGCTATACATATATGTATCTAATAGAGACAATTTGGCCCTTCATCAAGTTATTTAAAAAATTTTGATCAATCAATCAATTAGTTTATAAAGCGCTATTTCTGCGATGTTGATACTTAATCATTTTTTAATGTTACTGGTTTTTGTCTATCTTGTTTTCTTATCTCTGTAATCGCTTTTCTTTTGTTGTTTTCAAAAATGCTAATTCTAACTTCACTGCTCTTGCTACTTTTGTGGTATTTTAAAGTTTTATTTCTGGCTCTCTTCTATTTATACTTCTGAACTATCACGTATTATTGAAAATTTTTCTTTTACTAGTCAACTAAATGTTGAGGATTCTTATATTTATACCTTTTTCCTCTTATCACTCTTCTATTATCGCTTAGTCTGAGTCTATGTATCTTAAACTTATTCTTTCTACGTTTGAATTTATGTTTTAATAAATTTAAACACTCTAGTACTATTCCTTTTATTATTTTATCTGATTCTAAAATTTTTGATGTTTTTCATTAGTTGCTTAGTTGAAGCCTCATCTTTGATACTCATACTAGCATGTCTTTTTGTTTTTCGTCTTAGCTTAGATTAATAGAGTTGCGAAGAGTTCTTTTTTTCTGACGATCCTACTCATCTTCTTGTTGTTTTATTAGTTTTATCTAGCATTGATTATTGTAGCTATCTCTACTATGGTCTTCCTGGGTAATGCCATTAACTCTTCTGCTCGTCTAGTTGCCCGTATCTTTATTTTTTTCATATATTTCCATATCTTGTTTTCTTGCACTTGTAACATATAAAAAAGAACAATTTTTTCAAAATTCTCAACTTTTATCTAAATTTTTTCTCATGTATTTTTTTATCAGATATATTAATTGAGCCAAAACACTCCGATTTACGATCATTTTTTTTGTTAACTTGTGCGTTTGTTTTTTCTGACCTTTTCTCTGAAAGTCTCTAGCTCTTTCTATAATTACTAATATTTGATTGTTTGATTAATTGATTGATTGATTGATTGATTGATTGATTGATTGATTGATTGATTGATTGATTGATTGATTGATTGATTGATTGATTGATTGATTGATTGATTGATTGATTGATTGATTGATTGATTGATTGATTGATTGATTGATTGATTGATTGATTGATTGATTGATTGATTGATTGATTGATTGATTGATTGATTGATTGATTGATTGATTGATTGATTGATGCCAATTTATTTTCGTTGCTACAATAACCGTCGTCTTATTTTTTTTTTCATTTTCTCCAACAGACAACGGTAACGATTTGGTCAAAGTGTTTTTTTTAGGAGTTCATTCGCGTCACCACGGTTCGTTGTATTATTGACTCGTGTTTTTTGTTATTTAGGTAGGTTTCTCTGATATTATTTTCAATGGGTATCAACCACTCAAAAGGAACTTTCACACCTGAAATCGCTGAAATTCAGAGAGAAACAGGCTGTTTGTTTTTTTGCTCATTCAATATTCAATTAATTAATTTAATTTTAATTTAAATATTAAATTTATCATCTATGATTGTTTATCTCTATGTCTATAAATTATAAAAGTGCTATATAATTTATTTATACTAGATTTATATTTAATTCATTAATATAAATAATTCTTTTGCTTTAGATTATTTATATTGTTTGTCTCTATGTTTATAATTATAGCTGTCATTCTTTCAACAAACATTCCACATCCCTGACACTAATCAACTCAATTACTAAGTATCAGTATAAACTCAAAATTATTTATTATTTCATAAAAACATTTAATTTATTATACTTTTTATTATTCTTCATAATAGCTTAAAAATAAAAACTGATGAATGTTTTTTAGCTCTTCCAAAGTATACTGTAGTCAGTATGTAAAGTAGTAGATCTTTTTATACTTATTAATTATTATTCTTTTTTTTTCTTTGTCTTTTTTTCTTCATATTTGTACATCTATAATTTATATATATATATATATATATATATATATATATATATATATATATATATATGTATGTAATATTAAATATAGTCATATACTTTAATTAAAATAAATTCTAAAAACTAAGGTTACAATTGTTATTGATAATTTTACATGATGATGTAGTTTTATTAAAATCATAAAACATTTGCAGAGAATGTTTAAGCAGGTAAAATGATTAAAAGCTTATTTTATAAATTTATGTAATGTATAAGCATAATGGATCATCTTGATAATTTTAATAATGTTTAGTTTAGTGTTCATTCAAAACATCTAAGTTACAAATTTTCTTTTTGTTTATTCATTTCAGACCTAGCAATAATTCTACTGCCTTTTTATCTCTAAGTATGTCTAATAGCTTAACAATATAATTTTTGAAATTTTTGCTTGATTTTCAAAGATTATACATAATCATAATCTAAGTATCTCTTATCTGTAATCCAAGAATGGCCTTGATTTATTTGCATAAATGTTGATTTTAAATTTGAAGTAAAACAAAGTCTGGCTAACTGTTTTTAGGCCTGAACTGTTTATAATATGTTTGGCTTTATGTCCTATTGTAAATGAAGATGTCTCCCTAATTGTTTGTTATGTTTTGTTAATTTAATTAAAAAAACTCAGTTTTCATGCTTATATGAGTTTTTTTTCTGTTGGTAATTATTTTTAATTATTTTGCAACAATCCTAACTTTTTTTAGTTAATGATATTAATTTTATTTATGTCCTGGTTATGACATTAAACTGACCCTCACTGCCTTGTGAGTGGTGTTGGATCATTAAAGGCTAGGCCCACCGCTTATAACTGTGGTTGCGTAAGGAAGGGCGTCCTGCGTAAAAATTAGCCAAATAAATTACTTATGATGAAATGGCGTCGAGGGGTATTTCGGTTTCATCATAGGTAGCCAAACGGCAACCCCCGATCTCGGGGAAAATGTCGTCTAAACGTGTGTTGTTGTTGTTTTTGATATTAATTTTATTTGTTAATGGCTTTCATAATATTCATTAAATTTTTAAAGTTACACTTGAACAAATTTTTCGCCTGCAAAAAAGATTTTCAACTTATGATAGAGACAATGACAACTTCTTAAGGTAATTTTGTATGAATGTACAGATATATATATATATATATATATATATATATATATATATATCTGTGTGTGTAGGTGTGTGTGTGTGCGTGCGTTCATGCGTGGGTGCTTTATTTTATTAATTGTTAAAACTTTTGAAATATAAGCTATATCTCATTAATCATAAGTTGTTTATCAGTGGTTGAAACATGGGAGAAATATTACTTAACTTCAATACTTTAAAGATAGTTGTATAAGGGAATATATTTTTGCCTAATTTTACTAATTTTATATATTTTAAATATTATTTTTAACTTATTTAACATCTAGGCGAGATGATTTTCTGGTCCAACCAACTTTAGCTACCAACCCACTAAGCAATTCAATAATCAATCTCATGTTTTCAGGGTATGTTATTTGTTTAGTTAAAATATCATCTTAGGTTTTAGTAATTAATGGCTGTCTTTTGAAGTGCTATTCACTATGTTTAGCTTAGCTTTAAAGAAGTAGTTTATTTTTGTTGGAAATTTATTAAGCAATGTTTTTTATTGCATCTAAAGTTTAAACCATCGTTTTTATAGGGATGACAAGCCACTTGATCAAATCACGTTCAAGCAGTTTACTTTAGTTCTTTCGAGATTTCTTCCAGAAAATACGCAAAATTGTAGCCATCTCAATAGCTCAGAAGAAAAGTTGAAATGTTAAATTTGTTATTTTTATCAATCTTTAAAACTTTTATTAATGTCCTATTTTAATGGTTCTTTTCATAATTTGTTGTCCTTGGTTTTTTTCTTGATATTTATTATATTAAGCGACTATTGTGATCGTTAGTTCTTTTTTCCAGGGATTTTTCATTAAGCATTCAATGCTTGGTGCTTCACACAATTTATTATTATGAATAAAATAGTCTATGAATTTTGCAATTTAATAAATACTTTGTTTTTTTCAGTTCTCTTCAAATTATTTGATAAAGATTGCGATGGCTATGTCTCTCAAGGAGATCTTAATTCAGTTTTGACAATGCTTATAGGCTCACAAGTACCGGTAGAACAGGTGATATCAATTTATTAATTAGCAAATTATAATTGTATGTTACGGCCATAATTTTCATTCTGACAGTTGGATAAAATAGTTGACCAGACAATAGGTGAAGCTGACAGTGATCAAGATGGTAAAGTTTCCTTTTCTGAGTTTTCTAAAATAATGGCGAAGGTCGACATTAATAAAAAAATGACGCTTCATTTTTAAATGCTTATGTCATTGTATTATTATTTTTGTACACTGCATTCCTTTTTTAATATCGATATTGAACTACTTTGATGATATTCACACTTTTGTATCAAAACTTTTTAAATATTCATTTTTTAAATTAAATGTTTTGTTAACCCATTTAAAGGACATTTGTATTAAATTAGCCTTAACGTTAAATTGTATCAAAGCCTATTAATTTAGTCCTATTACAAATCTTATATGTTGAAAATAATACTCAAAACATCAGCTCTGTCGTTTTTCGTTGACCTAAGAGTAACAGTAAGAACCAAGTTACATCAACGAGCAACAACAGATGCAAAATTAAACAAATGACGAACTGTGCAATTCGAAATTTTCACAAACTACTCCCGAAGTAACACAATCGAGGAACTTCGCTCAACTTAGTGGAGAAACTTAATGTAATAATAACCGTTGAATAGCAAGGAAACCTTGGTCATCACATTATGTACGAGTGTGTGTGTCTGTGTGCGTGCGGCAATGGCGCTTCTTAAATGATATTACCATCACCAATATATCTAATGATTAATAGATTAGATTCTAATCTATTAGATTCTAAATTTTGATAAATACCTAATGTCGCAACTTTACACACTACCATAGGTGCCAACAATTAAGTGTTGTGTCTTCAAGTTTGGGCATTGTTAACTCTTCAGCGAGAATACTGTGGCTGAATTCACAATTTTTTTAGCTGAAAGTTTCATGAATCTTAGAGTATTCTGATTATTTATTACTTTTTTAATATTTAAGTGTTAAACAAAGTTCACCCTACATATTAGTGTTTAATTTTGAAATAAATCTTGAAATAAATTTAGGGGACATTTTTTCCCATATGTTTTATATTTTCATAATATACACATTGTAAGCGCTCAAAATGTTGGTCCCAAAATTTGAGTGGTATCGTGCAAACATTATTTAAAAATTATTCAAAATGAAAAGTCTCTAATTGAATGGAACAGTTGTGTTATTTAGGCAATTTCTTGTGACACGAACAAAAAACAATACTTTTTATATAAAAATATATTGTCATTGCACAGTAACTTTTTATGATTATCTTTCAGCGTTTTCATAAATTTTGAATAAATATACAATAATTTTGATAAGGATAAGAATTATATCAATTGATTAAAATATTTTTGAAGAATCTTTCATTTTATTATGATTCGTGTTAGGTAGGAGTCTGAATCAGACGAACTCTTATCCGATTCAGACACTCGGCACTTGACGCCGAGTTGTTGACTGTTAATGTTTGCCAATAAAGTAATTAAGTTTTAGAAATAAAATATGCAACTTATACAAGACTCTGCTTATTTATACTTAAATTAATTTTCCAGTAACATTTTTTGAATTACAAATTTGAAAACAGTCAAAAGGAAAACGGTTTATTTCACAAAACTATGCAATTTATCGAAATCATCGTTAAAAGATTTTATCGTTTCAGAATAAGAAGTGTTCCTATCTGCTGAAATGAATTCTTCAGAGTTCGTCAAATCACAAGGGGGCAGAAATGTCATTCCATTTTGCACTTCTGTTACATTATGAAAATACTTAACAATTTTAAATGGATCAATTATTTATGAATAATTACCAAGAATTTGTGTATTATTGTTTTGCTTGTAAAAATCCGATGCACTACAATCAATACCAGAATCATACTGTTCATTTCTCTCTTCTTTTAATTCTTCATTGTAATAGCTGTTTGCTAAAAAATTATTTGTTTCGTTTAGTGTTTTAAAATAAACAGACAATAAAAACAGTCGAAATTGGTAGTAACAAGAAACAACGTAATATACTAACGTACTACAATCAGCTTGCTTTCGTCTCGCTTCTTGCAAAATAAATATGCTAAAGTTGTTACCCAGGCTAATAAAATTATTGAAATAACTGGTATAAAAATCTGTGGTACGTTAATCTTTCCAAAATCATTGTCAGGTTTCTTTTCCAATATCATCATTGGTCTTAACGTTTCTCGACTAAGACTAGAAAGTAATTAAGTACAAAATAAAAAAAAACATTAGGCTCATCACACATTTGTTAAGAAATTATAAAAAAAGTCTGCTTTTTGCTATTAAAAATGGTTAAAAGGTTCTAATTGGGCTTCCAGAAACCCCTGCTATAAATTTAAGTCACACTGAAACGTGTAACAGTTGCGCTATGTATGAGAACACTAAACCAGGAAAAGCAGTACGCGGAGTGAAAAGAAGAAAAAAATAGTATTAGTTTGGATAGGCTGGACACGTGTCTTGTCACTGCCGTACCAGGGACTCAATAGCAGTCCGAATACGTGTCGGAATAGTATCGCAGTTTTTTCTTTATATAGCCCCACGTATTCCTTCGTAAGTTTGTGGTTTTTTTTCATTTATTTTGAGGATCGTTGGTTTTAGTCGTTAAGATTTGCGATCCGATAGACGTTAACGGCCCTACACGACCCGGTTTAGCAACAGGCTTGCTTAAAGACTGCAGCATCCGACCTCAGTTAAATGTTTTCTTTATTAGAGGTTTTCTAATTCAATAAGATGTTAAAAAGTGTTTTTTTTAAGTTAAAATAAGTAAGTTTTATTTATTTAATTTAGGATAAAAAAAACAAATGTTGCCGCCTGTGTTGCCTTCTCTTTTTTCTTGTTTGCATAAAGGTACCTAATATTTTTTTAAAAATATGTAACGAGGCTAAAAGAAAATCGCAGCTAATATATTTAATCCTACCCTTTAAGTATTTGAGGCTTTTATACCTGTTTTGATAATTTATTATCAAAAGTTCTCTTGTTTTTCGGCTCGAAATTAATTAGCAAGTAGTTTCACTAGTGACATGACACACCGCTAAAAGTAAAAACACATCAAGCTTTCTTTGAAGTAAAATTTTATCAATTGAATGCGACAACGCTTTGTTTGACGCAAAACCACTGCTGTTTAGTATTTTGTATTTACTCAATAATTTTTTTTATGTTTATTTGAATTGTTAAATAGTATAATCCAGTAAGGTCATTTATTTACCTTGGCTTGCCATTAGTAGTAACAGAAACACTTGAATGTTTATTCGTTAGTTTTTCGACGGTTGTATTTTTAAAAAATAATGGTCTATATCCTTCATGTCTTTTGAAACCATCTAGCTGAAAAATATTTTTTTAATATCAACATTCAAACAATATTTGAAAGTAAATTTTTACCAACTTTGACTTCTACTTGTATGTTAGTTGAAACGTTTGGAACGTTGTCGCATTGATTAAACTGCAGAACATTAATTAAAGGCTGGTTTTAAAATTAAACGTGAACAATATATTTAAAATTACTTACTCCACATACCCAATCCCAAATATTTACATAGACTATGGAATTCGCTGTTTTGATTTTTACTTTAAATTTGGAGTACCCCATTTCACTATCTGGCATCGTGAAGCAAAATATTAAATTATTCTCTTCAGGCAATAATTTGGTTTCGGGACGCCAAACATCTAAAATTAATAAATAATTTAAACTGATCATAAAACTCTTATTATTTTGATCATTTAATCCATGCTAAATTTGTTAATAAATTAACCTTGATGTATTGTCCTACCATAAGGTTTTGATGTATCTATAAAAGTTAAAAAACATTAGATATTCGATTCAGTATAAGGTAACGACCAGTCTTGAGTCACTTGATTTTGCAGACAAAATTATATTTTAAGTGTTATTAACCGTTACTTCAGGCAACTATGCGTATGTCTTTATTTTCTGACATTATTTATTTATTTATTACGCAACTGAACAGAGGACCACACAGGCTACTTGCCCCGTCAGAAAAAAAGAATAGACAATTAAATTAAACAAAATGGCAGGAAATGAAAAAGAGATCAATAGTAAATAAGTGTCATATCGTGATCACGAAATAAAAAAAAAGCATCATAGAAAACGATAATAACGTTGCATTTTCAGCATGACGATCGATCAAACAATCAATCAACAATCAATTAATCAAACCTTTCATTCAACAGCAATGTACAATCCATTCACACAAACACGAACCAAAAAACCATTCCACACACTTTAACAATCATATAGAAATGAAAATTTAAGTAGTAATGATAATTTAGAGTCAAAATGTTAGCCCATGCATCTGCCGAGCAAAACCCACATCCCCTAAGCGCAGACATAGGAAAGAGAAAAAGAAATATTCAATATTCACACAATAGTTAAGAATTGGTTAAGGTCTATTAAAGTTATTTTGTTTTTGAAAATTAAATATGTTGGTGACGAAAGAATCACCTCAGGCAAGTAAGCGCACTTTCAACTTATGATCAAAAATGTTTTTGCTTCAAGTTTGAGCTATTGCAATTCTTTCTTTTGTAAAATCTTCTATAAAAAAAATACTGACCGTACAACATAAAACTGCCATACTTATTCTTTTCAAACTTCGACCTAGTCCTTCCATTTTATTGCTATCTTGAGTCATTTGATTTTGCAGACAGAATTATAGGGGCTGTCCATAAAGGATGTCACGCTTTTTTAACGTTTTTTGACCCCCCCTCCCTCGTGTCACAAACTGTCACAAATCGACCAACTCCCCAAAAATTAGCATGTCACAAAACTTTACCCCCCCCCCCCCTCTTAGTGAAGAGTCAATAAACAATGTAATTGTTCTATGCATTTTATTTTTTAATGATATCAAATTAACGAATAAAAAGTTTATATGACGATAGTTTGATATCTAAATGCTCTACCGTGGTTAAAATATAACGAATTAATATTAACTTCTACACCAACGCAGTGGTAAACTTCAACGATGGCATTTAAATTTGACTCCGCCTTTAATTAATATTCATGAGCTATTTGCTCGCTTGAAAACTTTACTATTCATTTTGCGCATATGTATGACAGATAATTTATTTATTGTTTTGTTTATTTGAAAAAAGGGACGTCACACTTGCGTTTACCCCCTCCCCCTCGTCACAAAGTGTCACAAATATTTGGACCCCCTCCCGCACCTTGAAGCGTGACATCCTTTATGGACAGTCCCATACCCTAAACATTATTAACCGTTACTTTAGTTAACTGTGCGTACAAACTTTATTCTTTTTATTCTTTATTTTTGTATTCTTTACAAACTTTGACCAACCTAGTCCTTCCATTCTATTGAGAAGCTGCAACACTCGTGTTATTTTCAAATTTGCAGTTCACCAAAAAATTCAGCATACCTTTTTGACCTCAAATCTCCTCGTGAACATGCCAGGTCATTAGTTTGTTTATTCAGTTATTAATTATATGTACACCAGCGCTATTCAAAATTATTATCACTCAATTGTTAAAAATTATCGACAAACCTTTATGTTTCCAATGATCAAATAAGCAAGGGGATTTATAAAATCCTGTGTAATCTTCAATGGCATGTCCGTCCAAAGAGTAAGGTGTCACATGAATGTTGTACGTGACTCCTGGATAATCTATTCGTTTACACTTATAGGCCAGATTAAACTGCCTTATCTGCAAATTAAAACTATATTAATTAAATTTAAAAAAATTAACAACTGCAATTTTATATCTAGGTACTTTGTTTAACTTCGGGTCTTCTTTTAATCGAATTCTCAAATAACGGGAATAGACCTCTTGTTGTCCAAGATAATTATACAAAATTAGCAATTCATATCCATCAACTTTTTTCAAGAAATCTGTTTCAATAAAATTGATTTTCAAGTTGAAATAATGTTTTTTTTTCTCGCAAGGGTAATAAGCATGGGTTTGGGGTCATAGTTTGAGAAACGTCGTAAATGAACACGCACATAAATCCACACTTAGTAAAAAGTTAGCTTAGAATAATAAATTTGTAGCAACACTTCTTTTAGCGGTTTACACTCTGATAAATAGCTTTTAGACATGAAAACAATAACAAATTACAAAAGAACATGCATACAAATTATAGGGTTATGTAAGAATTGAGAGCAATTGAGTTCTCTCGAAATATACAAATATCAGAATTATTATCAATAGATGAATATATATGATAACTAAATGGTTACTCTTCTACCTACCAATATTTACGGTCCAATTAATGAATAGATAAGGATAGCAATACCTGTCAGAGCTTGGATAATCTTCATTAACTGTCAAATATATAGACGCAGCATCATGTTCTGGATAAAAATAAAAATATTGTTATAAATCAGTCTATTTAAATTTGTAACCAGCCTTGAACTGATGAGTTAATGAACATGGGCATTCTTCTATCTGATTTTTTCATTGTGTATTCCAGATTTTCATTCTTTACACAATTAATAAATGATTTTTAATGAAATTTATAAATACATTTTCCGATAATGGAAAAAAACGTCACATACTACTACTGTGGTAGTTTCAATTTGACAGTTACTTTTTTCTTCTTCGTGGAAACATTTCAATTCGCTGTCTCTAATATAGAGAAAAAATATCATCAGAGATTGTAATTGAAAACTTTTATTACAATATTTCATTTTTTCAACAACTTCTCTGATACATCTAGCACTAAAGGATAAACACATATATAGTGTGAAACATTGCAATGGATAATTTAATCTAGATTTTCAATTTAAGAATGATCTTAATCATTTAATGGAGCTGTCCTAACATCCTGTTGTGCTTTACAGGCTTAATGCTCTAATTATCTTCATAACGCAATTCTCCTAGTAAAAACCAGTTTCGGCAATTATAAAAATCAACTAAAAATGTTATAAGATTATAATAATTATAACTTTGCTATCAAAAGTCTTAGCTAGGAATGATTGATAAACTTATAAAAGTTAAGCATTATGTGTCATATAATATAATATAAGTAGTAAACACTAGTTCTATAAATTTGTTTATCAATGGTTTTACAATTTATATTGATGATGCAAAACTGTTTAAAATTGACAGAGATCCTGTGGATAACTATGCAGATGCAATTTAAAATATTAAAAGAACGCAGGGTTGGGTCAGAGATTGGTGAACGAATTAGTCCAAAAATTGATAAATGTTATCTAGTAGTAATTGGGAAAAACGATACAAATTAGTGTTTATGAAATCAAGGTAATAACAAATTTAAGTGTATTAATGAAAGATCGTATACATGATAAAGTTAAGGTAGCTTATTGAATCAATGCTGGCCTCCTATAGAAAGACATCTACAATTTATTGATGAATATGCTTATTTATTATTTAAGTTTGTAACCAGCGTCATAAATACATAATTCATTATTTTTCATTGCTGCTGATTTTTTTTTGTGTTGACAACAGTGCGGGCGAATTCTTACGCCTAGCACACTAAAAAAACGAAAAAAGGCATAAACAACCGAAATAAATTATACATTTATATAATATAACCTCCATTTCGTATACCAACAAAATGTTCTCTGCCACCTTTTGTCCTATAGTAGGATGTATTGCGATCCTTATGATGTTTATAATAACCATTAAGTCTTTGCTTCGTTGTGATACAATTTTTAATTATCTGATGACCAAATATTTCATATAACCTAACATAACAAGGTTTAAAGTGGTTCAGTAGATTAGAGTCCTGGGTATGACAGTGTCCTGGGTATGACATAAAACTGCATAAACGCTGCCTTGCGTGCTTTTGAGTGAAAGGCTAGGCCCACCGCTTACAACTGGTGGTTGTCGTCAGGATGGGTGTCCGGATGTAAAAACTTTTCCCCAAATTATTCCTATGCCATTACAAAGAAAAACAACGGCCCCTAGTCCCCAGCAGGCCTTAAGTGGTCAAGGGGTGCCAAGAATCCCTGGGAAGTATGCAATAGCGGAGGGATGTTGCAGAAAAATTCAGAATGGTCCTTCTATGGTATTTAGACTTGGAACGCTCAATGTTGGATCATTGACTGGCCGCAGCATGGAAATCGCAGAAATTCTTGAGCGTAGAAGGATTGACATCTGCTGCCTTCAGGAAACCCGATGGAAATCGAATGGTGTCTGTCATGTCAACTCAGACAAAAAAAAATATAAACTATTCTGGAATGGTCAAAAAACGGCCAAAAATGGTGTTGGAAATTTTGTCAGAGAACCGCTAGCCCAAGAAGTACTGGATATTAAAAGGATTAATTCACGTCTCATGTGGATCAAGCTTCGCATAGAAAAGCAAACAATGATTATCTTTTCTGCATACGCACCACAGACAGGCAAATCAGAAGAGATGAAAAATGATTTCTGGACTGCATTCTCTGACACCATCTCAACAATACCAAAATCTGAAACAATCCTGATTGGAGGCGATCTCAATGGCCACGTTGGAGAGAAAACAGATGGTTTTGACAACGTACATGGCGGTTTTGGTTATGGAAAACGGAATGAAGATGGCAACCGCATCCTTGAGTTTGCTGAAAGTCACGGGTTTTGTTTACTGAACACATACTTTAGAAAGAGGTTGGAACATCTCATAACATACAAAAGTGGACCATCAGCCACGCAAATTGATTTCTTCGCTTTCAAGCAATCACACCGAAGGCTATTCAAAAACGTCAAAGTTATACCTGGCGAATCATGTGTCGCCCAACATAGACTCCTTGTGGCAGACCTGGTTGTCGAACTGTCAAAACATAAGTCTAAACAAATGCCTCGGAGAATCAAAACGTGGAAGCTGAAAAGCAATATTCATCGAGAAAAATTTCAACAGATTGTCGCCACACAGTTAGACCACCAATCGCAAGCCAGTACAGATTGGAGTACATACAAAACCGTTTTAATGAAAAAAGATATAGTTGGTGCCTCATGACATGACAAAAATGAGATGGTTCTTGAACAAGATGAGATCAAGCTACAGTGGAGAGAATACTTCAATCGTTTGTTAAACGAAACAAATCCCATCAATGTTAACTTTGACGCTCCACCCATCGAAGGTCCAATTCCAGACATCACTGTAGAAGAGCTTACAGAAGCTCTGAAAGCTATGAAGGATGGAAAGGCAGCAGGGCCCTCTGGACTCACAAATGACATTATCAAAGCATCTGGTACTGCAGGTATCCAAACGTTACTACAACTTTGCCGTGAAATCTGGAGAAATTGCTCAATGCCGACTGAATGGAACTATAGCATGACAGTCCCGCTATACAAAGGCAAAGGTGATCCATTAAACTGTTCATCATATCGGGGTATACGTCTGTTAGAACACTCCCTGAAAATTGTCGAAAAAATCATTGAGAGAAGATTAACGTCGTGCATCACAATCGGAAATTATCAATTTGGTTTTCTAGCGGGGAAATCAACAATTGATGCAATTCACATCCTTCGGCAACTGCAAGAGAAGTACCTCGCAAAGCATCAACAGCTATCACACATTTTTGTAGACCTTGAAAAAGCATTTGATCGAGTTCCCCGTGAAGCAATCAGATGGAGTCTACGTTGACAATTCATTCCAGAATATCTTGTTCGACTTGTGATGGAAATGTATACAAATACTAAGACTTTTGTCAGCACAACGGTTGGAAACACAGATGCATTTGACATCGGCGTTGGAGTTCACCAAGGCTCGATTCTCAGTCCACTGTTATTTATAACTGTGATGGAAATCACAAAACCGATACGCACTGGTGACATTTGGAATCTAGTATATGCTGATGATATCGTTTTAACAGCCACGTCTGAACAGAATGCAGCACAGATGTTTGAAGATTGGAACACCAGACTCGCCGATCACGGATTCAAAGTCAACATGAGCAAAACCAAAGCAATGAACACTGGTGAAACCATCCAATCCACAGCTACTGGACGATGGCCCTGTTCAGTTTGTAAAGCTGGGGTAGGTAACAATTCAATCGAGTGTCAGCAGTGTAACCAGTGGTGTCACAAACGTTGTTCAAAAATAATTGGTACTTTATCTAAAGTGTCCAATTTTGTTTGTCCTGCTTGCATCAATCCACAACAACAAATTCGAAATAGCACTGTTTTTGAAGCCATTAAAATAGAGAAAGTCACATCGTTTCAATATCTAGGGGATGTTCTGGATTGCACTGGAACAGCTGAAGCTGCCGTTCGAGCACGCATACATGCAGCCTGGAATAAATGGCATCTCCTTGCCTCTATATTGATGCGGCATGAAATCCCACTACCACTACGATCAAGACTTTATAAATCTGTGATACGTCCGGTGTTGTTATATGGTGCAAAAACATGGCCAATGACAACCAAACTGGAACAACAACTTCAACGAACCGACATGAAAATGCTCCGATGGATGCAACGAATTAGTCTGAAGGACCACATCAAATCTACCGAAATCCTGCGTCGTGCTGGTTTAGATGATATAAAGGACGAATACCGGCAACACCGTCTGCAGTGGTTTGGTCATGTCAAACGAAGTGGAAATAGTGCCATAACTTCTCTTGCAGATGTTGAAGTACCTGGCACACGTCCCATCGGCCGTCCAAAGAAGTCCTGGTCGCAAACAATCGAGCAAGACATGAAAGCTCTAAATTTAAATGAAATGGATACAACTGATCGTCTAATTTGGCGCAAAAAGTTGATGGCAAGGCAAAAAAAACAACGTCCTACCTCGGGAAACCGGGTCTCTGGACGCAAAACGAAGATTGATAGAGTCTGTGTGAGAACCACTGCCAAATAAGTTTCCTAAAATCCTCATGTGTGAACAACAAAAACAAATGTAGCTTTTAAACATTTTTTTAGTAAACTCAAAAACGGTTTAAAATTGGTGAGTGCGTAGAGACTTGTAGATTTTTTTATAGAAACTATCGCAAGATTGCACCATGCGAAGACTCTCAGAATGTCCTTGATGGAAAAAAACTCAATGCTATATTTTAGCAGAGTGACAGCAAACAGATTTCTCGTCAGCGTTAAATTCAAATGACATAGTTTCCTTAATATAAAACTCTTGATATTATTTGCTTGAAGTATTTTATGTTAACAGTATATAACCCTCGATTTTATTTAATGACATATTATCTATTGTGATATTTAAGTATGTTTTTTAAAGAAAAACATAGCGCTACAGAAAAAGTGGCCATAAAAGATCTAGCATAAAATAAACAGACGCGCGTGAAACTTATTGGAATGACAGTTCAATATAATCGCAAGTTGCAGAGCGTTCGCTCGACTAATCATGGTTTTCTCAAGTTAATGTTTCTGTGAGTAAGTTTTATTGAGTTTCTGTGAGTTTTATTTTATATACGCACTTCCTTCTGGACGTACCCCGCTCGGCTTTTATAATATTCGTGAGTCATAAAGTCGTAGTTGTACGGAAGGAACGTATTTTAAAATTTTGATAGATTATCCAAGCTGTAAGCACGCTAACTAAACCAGAATTTAATTACAATTGTGGTGATTACCAGTGACAGATCTAGACAACTTTAACAGAGGGGCCAAGATTTTTTTTGTTAATGTCAATTATTCCTTCAAAATGATAATTTTTTTCCATTTAGATTTAATAATGCAACCACTTTTACTAACTTTTTAATACAAATAATGCTCACAATGTGGGGGGCCTAGGTCTGCCACTGGTGATTACAGATTATATGTTTGTTACAATTATAGCTAAGTATGGGTTCTTGAAATGAAAATCCAAAATTTAGATAAAATCAATGTAGCATTTAATAATTTATTAGCAATTAGTTTAGAATAGAAACTAATCTTCATTAGTTACTTGAATTAAAATGATTAAATTAAATTTCAAAAGTTAAATTATTATGAAACATTAAATTATGAAATAAAATTGTTTATTGTCTTATATATTTTCATTATAAACTTTGCTTGGAAGCATCATGAGCAACATGGACAATGCGTATTTACGTATTATATTTTGCAGTGGCGTAACGAGGGGGGGGCAGAGGGGGACAGTTGTCCCCGGGCGCAGGGCTGGGGGGGCACAATATCAGTGACCAAAATATCAGTGACCAAAAAGGTTTTTTTATTATTATTTTGCTTTACCTAGCAATTTCTGTGTCTGTCCTTTAGAACAGGTCAGTCACAGTGCAGTTAAAAGCTTGTATAGATTATGCTTTATAGTCTATAGTATAGTATCTTTGTGGTATAGCTGCATTGGGTTAGTCAGTATAGCTGCCTACAAATACCTGCTATTACCAGTGATGGGCATAGTTTAATTAAATAGTTGCAAACTAATAGTTTAACTACTTTTTTTAGTTTCCTTCCTAGTTTAACTAAAAAAAAATAGTTTAGTTAAAACGATAGTTTAACTAAAATATTTTAGTTGCTAACTAAATAGTTTAACTGAAATATTTTAGATAAATATCTTTTATCCATGTCTTGACTTATGGTTTTTGAATATTAATTTTAATTTGTAAAAAGTTAAGCTTTCCATATTATTAAAGCAAAGTACATTCAATGTTTTTGGTTTTTACCAATGTTTTGGACTGTTTGATGTCTTGTTTCCTCTCGGTGTTGAAGGTTGACGCTGATGGTTGGTTAGTTGTTTAATCTTTAAAATTTGTTGCTGTTTTGTTAAAAATATTTTAATAAATACATTTATGTAATTGTCTATATTCAATTAAGTTGGTTTTAAACACTAAATAATTTATTTGGCCTAAATTTTATGATGACAAGTTATGTTAGTTAATGATTTTATTTTTAGCGCATTTTTGAAATGTAGCTTAATACTTCACTTTGAAAAGACATGTTTTGAATAGTTTGTTATGTTAGTATTAATGCCACTTTAGATTATGTCTGTAAAAAAGTAAATATAAAAATAGTTGCAAAATAGTTGGAAAAAGTTTAACTACTTTTTTTTTAGTTTAGTTAACTACTTTTTGAAAAAAGTTTATAACTATTAGTTTAACTACTTATTTTTAGTTGAAAAATAGTTATAGTTTAATTAAAGATATTTAGTTAGTTGCCCATCACTGCCCATCCCCTCCATATAAACGCCACTGGGCATTCACAGTAAACTGCTCAGGGATAAAATTAAGAAACTTGTATTAAAATTTACTAGAAAATTTAATTATTGTTAATTATATAAATAACTATTTATTAATATTGTGTATCCTATATAAAAGTTTTTCTTAATCCCAGATATGTTTGGAAAAAGGCCTAGTGGAGCTCAGCGAAGAAAAAGAAAGGCAAATGAAACAAGAGAAGCTAGTAAGTCCAGCAAACTCCTGGATTGTTTTTTGAAGAAGGCAAAGTCAACACCAGAAGAAAGCCAACAGCCTCAGGCTACTGATGTTGATGAATTCAATGATCAACCAAGTGTACAGCAGAATCAGCAAAACATAGAGAACAGTAGCAGTTTATCAACTTCATCTAACTCTGAAGTAGAAGAAGAAAATGATATCATTTCTCATAGACCAAATCCAATTCCAGCTGTGCTTATGTTTGGGGATGTTGGCTATTTGGATTTCGACCAAACGTCACAATTGCCTATAATTTCTCAACAGCTCTGCACAGAAATGGTATCTCGAGGCTCTAATGTATTTCAAAATAATAATGGTCCATTTGCTAAGAAAGACGGCCGTTCTATGACGAAGCCATGGTTCAAGCGGAGACTTGCCAATGGAAAGGGAGATGAGGTGAATCGGGTCTGGCTAGTTTATTCACCATTGAATGAATCAGTGTATTGTTTTTGCTGCTTGTTATTTCCCTCATCGAGTGCAAATATTAAATCATCTTTTGAATTATCTAATGGATTCAGCAAGTGGAGGAAGCCAGAGAAACTAGCGGCTCACGAGAACAATCCTTTCCACCGGAAATCATTTAATGCATGGAAAGAAGCAGAGCGCAGATTGATTCAAGGGAAAACAATCGATGCATCTCTTGAAGCTGAAATTCAGTCAGAGGTTGCACGATGGCGAGATGTTTTGAAGCGAATACTAAATTGTATAAAATTCTTGGCCACTCAAAACTTGGCATTGCGTGGACATATTGAGAAACTTGATGCCACAGGAGACAAAAATGTAGGAAACTTTTTGTCTGTTCTTCAACTTCTAACTCAGTATGACCCAATTTTGCAGTCACACTTTGACCATGCTAGAAAGAATCCAGGATCTGTTACATATTTATCTCTAGAAATTCAGAATGAGTTCATCAGCATTCTTGCTTCGAATGTGAGAAATCAATTGCTGATTAACATCAGAAAAAATAAATACTACGGGATTTTGTTTGATTCAACTCCTGACTTGGCACACAGGGAGCAAATGTCTGAAGTTATCAGGTATGTTGACATAAATTTTGATAAAAGGGAGGTTGTAATAAAAGAGTCATTTCTTGGCTACATCGAAATTCATGGAAAAGATGCAGCCTCGATTGAAGATGTTATCATAAAAAGATTGGAATCTGACAACGTCGCGTTACAAAATTGTAGATCTCAATGCTATGACAATGCAGCTGTTATGTCGGGGCGTTTATCTGGAGTTCAGCAAAGAATTTGCACAAAAAATAACAAGGCATTGTTTGTGAATTGTGACAATCACAGCTTAAACTTGTCAGGGGTGCATGCTGCAAGTCAAGATCCAATTGTAGTTACTTTTTTTGGCACCATTGAAAAAATTTATCTATTCTTTTCAAGATCAACCCATCGATGGGAAAAACTTAAAGAAGCAGTGACCATCACAGTCAAACGTGAATCAGAAACACGATGGAATGCTAGAGCAGAATGTGTTAAAGCAATTCATGATGGACTTGATAACATAGCCAGTCTACTGGAAAAAATGTCTGAAGATACAACTGAAACACAAGAAACTAGAGGCGATGCTGTAATTCTGCTACAAAGTATTCTTAGTTTCAACTTCTTAGTTTTCCTTCCTTTCTGGCATGACATACTCAAAAAAATCGACCGTGTTCAGAAAAGACTTCAAGATCCAACAATGAATTTCCATGAAGCGTCTTTGGATATTGAATCTCTGCACAAGCAAAGGAAAAATGTGAGCTATGGGGTGTGGCTGTAGAAAGTAGAACCAGGCGACGGAGAAGGATGCCTGGAGAACTTGCCCGAGATGCAGGACTTTCGGCTGAAGAAGAAATTGTTCGTATCATGAAGAGTATTTTAGATCGACTCGAACAGGAAACGACAGCAAGGTTTACTCGTCTCAAAGATCTGAACTTCAAATTCGGATTCTTACTTGATGTAGACAAACTTTTGAATGACAAAGATCTTAACAGTCTCCGTCAGCATTGTATTGACTTTGGAAATTTTTATGACACGGATGTTGAAGGAATTGAGTTATTAAATGAAATATGTGACTGCAGAATGCTCCTTGAGACCCGCCAGGATACTGCACCAAAGACTCCTACAGAACTCTTGTCATTCATTATTAGTTACGGAGAAGATGTTTTTCCAAATTTGCGTGTTGCTCTACAAATCCTTCTTACTATAGCTGTTTCGATTGCCAGCTGTGAGCGATCCTTCAGTAAATTAAAAATAATTCTTTCCTATCTTCGAGCATCCATGGGACAAGATAGACTCAGCGATCTGGCCCTAATGAGTGTGGAGAGGGAAGTTCTTGAACAGATTGATTTTGATGATATAATTAACCAGTTTGCTGCAGTAAAAGCAAGAAAAATAAATTTTCTTTAAAATTCTGCTCATTTCCTAACCACAATTTCTAGACAATACTTAGCTGCTGTTTTGTTTTTAAATTTAATAATTTTTATTTCACACTTCTGACTCAGCGGACAATAAAAATACAGAATTATAAAAACTACTTGAAAGAATCTAATTATATACATCAATCATAATCATTTTTTTTTAATCATAATAATTTTTTTTGCCAAATAAATGATTAAATGATAATCATTAATATTTTGTATTACAATATAATAGTTAAGAACTGAGAAAGAATAATACAATTATGGTGTAAGGTGCAATATGCATATAGAAACATGAATACACTGAAATGCATTGTATATAGGCGTCACGGAATGTAGGCTACTTCAAATACTGAGTACGACAGTTATATTTTATATAGTTTGACAGATTTTATGTAGGGGGCGTAAATTTTTTGTTTTGTCCCCGGGCGCAGAAGACTCTAGCTACGCCATTGATATTTTGTAAAGGGAATCAAGAAGCAGGTGAAAGTTGATTGTGAAAAAGGATTCCTGGTCAACGTTTGAATTAATATTTAAAAAAGATAAGGGTAACATGCACATAATGATAATCAAATGTTAAAATTCTTCGCAGCTGGAATGGGAGTGTTTACAAAATGATTTGGCCTGAACTTTTGATATTTTGTCTGATATACTTAAGTCTTAGTATAACATATCATCTTCTTCTTAATGAATTCCAAAAAGAGTAAGACATCATTAATATAATTTTATATTTATATTCAATAATATTTTATATTATTCATTAATATTTAATATAATATAGTACTCAAAATAATTTAGTAATTTATTTGCAGACATTTTGAAACTGTGGCTAAATATTGTGATGAGTTCAGTAGAAAGTTGCCTTTGTCTTTTGTTTTAGGGTTTTTTGTGTCCACAGTTGTATATAGGTTCTGGATTCAGTTTAATAATATTGCTTGGCCTGCTGATGTTGCTATTAAAGTTAATGCTCTTATTTCAGGAAAAGTATGCTTTGGTCTTTATAAATTTTGATTTTTATGATCAAATTGTTCTGATAGGTTAAATGAAATATAATATGCTCTAGTTGTACTGGTTTGTTATGATATATGATGTATTAAGGTTGTACATAGGTGATTCATTATTTTAATATAAATTAGTACTTTCTGAATAAAATTAATTATTTAATTTTGTTTAAAGTTAGCTTGGATTTTAGCTGTTATATATGTCAAAACACAGTTAAAGCTGTTGAAAAGAATTAAACAGAGAAGATATTATAGAAAGAAGTGAGTTAGCATTTAAAAAATTGGATGAAAAGATCTCTTTATATGACACAACACCAGTCTGAGGTCAAAGTTAAGCGCCGTGTGGTGTTAAGGTGGAAAGCAGTAATATATAAACTTAGTATGTATGTCAAAAGATGAATGGGTAAGGCTCTTTTGTGTGTTTTAGACACATCATTCTTTCATTAAACTTTCTGTTTAATGTGACTAAACTTGCTAATTTAAATTATGGTTTGTTTTAATATTATTTTTATTTTGGTTTACAGAAAAAATTTTTTTCACCAAACTTAACCAGCCAGGTCATTTTGGTTCATGTTAGATATGTTTTGTTCCATTTTAATTTGTAAACCTGTAGGTCCAATTTATTTCATATTTGTTAAAACAAATCAATAAAATCTACGTCATTTTTATAAAAAATTTTCACTCACTTAAAAAGGACTTCCACAAACAAATTTGCAACATTTTTAAAATAATTTATTTTATGTAACCATTCATTTTCTTGGTAACTACATTTCATTTTTTTCCATGTTAATTACATTTGTTGATTTTTATTCTCTTGTCACTATTAAACTTGTCAAATCATTATCACAAGCCAAATTTTTACCAGAGCCAGTTACACTTTCAACTGTTGTTGCTCTTATCCTTGATTTTCTTTTGTTTATACTTTTCCAGAAAAAATGTGCTTGTTCTATATTTAATGCTGATCACTGATTAATTCCATATTAACTTGGCTTTGAAGGCGTATATGGTTTGAAGGAACATCTGTTTAATAATTACCAATCATCAACATTAACATTGCTTCTTAGATTAAATGCAATCAATCAATCAATTAGTTTATAAAGCACTATTTCCGCGATGTTCAACAGCACTTCTCAATGAATTTTGCAAACAGATGGGTCTTGAGATTCGCTCTGAACTTCGTAAGTGATGAAGAAGTAGTCAGAGAAGGAAGTAGAGAGTTCCAGGGAAAAGGGTTAAAAAAAGCAAATGCAAATTTAAGCAAAAGAGTGTTTAACACGAGTTAAGAAGTGAGAACAAGAAGACGATCGTTAACCGGGCGTTTAGGTTCAAGTAATATATCTGATAAGTTATAGTTATATATAATTTAGATTGAGACTTATACATAAATGTGCAAATTTAAAAAATTATTCTATATTTTATAGGTAGCCAGTGCAAGAAAACAGACATGGAGATAAATGAGAAAAGGAATGGGCAGCAGCAACCAAATGATCAGCTGATTTAAAAGCTTTACTTAAATGACAAAGTGTAGAATCGGGAAGACCGTAGTAGAGCGAGTTACAAAAATTAATCCTAGATAAAACTATGGAAGTAACAAGAAGAAGAAGAGTAGGATCGTCAAGAAAAGGCAAAAGTTATTTTTTTCTACGTAGATGGGCGTTTAGATTTATTAAAACATATTAATTCGAATTTAGAAGGATTAAATTTAAGACACATAGATTCTGACCAAGCGATAATTGAAGAAAGACATAGAGATAGGTTATGAAGAACACTAATGCATCTTCATATTTACTGTTACAGGTTTTTTTAGACTGAAGTTAATCAGACTGAATTGTTTTTTTCACAACCGTATCACCAATTCTTAAAGTTCTAACATTTGTAGAAATCTTTATCTGCAAATTTTTTGTGAATAGTTTTCCATTTTTTGTATTCAAAAGTGAGGAATTGATTTATTTTTAGATTATCGTGAGTTCAAACCATTTTTAAAATTCTTGCTTATAGACATTCATCCTGTCTTGTAAAACAATTCTACTCTATTTGTCCACCTATCAACTTAAAACGGAAATACAATAGAAAAGCTGTTGCCCAACTACACAGTTTTCTCTATGAAACTGGTTATTACTTTTTCTACATGCAGTTGATGAATTTTTTTTATTATTCTTAGATTTTGAAAGCAAATTTTCAAAAAGCTTTTTTAGTTTGTTTCTGAAGCTAATGTAGCTAGTTCATTACAGTCCGATGAAAACAAGGTATCTGATTTTAAAAAAATACTTTCGTGGATTGGTGGTTCATTGTGTTCATTATCTTCGAGGTAATGTTCTGTTACATCACAATAACAGTCCTACTCATTCAGTAATTCATGACACCAGGAAAAGCGTAAAATTTAGTTTAAATTTGTTCCCTGATTTCAACTAAAACTTGTAAATATGATCAAACTGCGATCACATAATGTTGTTTTTTAAAAAAAGCTTTATAAGCTAAATTAGACAAAAAACAATAAATATTTAGAGCAAAAGTGATCTAGACAAAGTACCCAGTTGGTAAAATACTGTTGTTTATTTGAGCTAGTTAAATATTACCATGAAAGAATTTTTTATATTAGTGGTACGAATGGAATAAAATTTGAAATACGGATGAATTGCAATTATGCGTCAAATGATATGGCTCATCACGTTGATATGTATCTACATTATTTAGGAAAAATCAAGTTATTTCAAATCAGTCTAAGTGTATTAATAATAACAGAGTTTGAATTTCATTTTGAAATTTTGCCAGGATGAAGAAGGTAGGATGCTAAGAAGAACAATAATGAGGTACATCTGTGCAGGTTATGTTTTTGCGTTTTGTTCTATAAGTGCTCCAATCAAAAAGCGGTTTCCCACGTTAGAACATTTCGTTCTGGCAGGTTTTCATTTTTTTAGATATTGAAAGTTATTTTGAGGAAAAATATATCAGATAATAATTTAATTTCAGGGTTTTTGCTTCCAAATGAAAAAATTATATTTGAAAATATACCAACTACAATTAATAAGTATGTCATTCCTTTTGTTTGGGCTGCAAATTTAGTGCAGAAAGCTAAAAAAGAAGGAAGGACTAAAGATCAAATGACAGCTCACATTCTTATAAGTGTAAATATAAATTATATATAAGTTGTTCATAGTATTATTTGATGCAATGCTTTTATTTCTGGTCATTTATTGTTGATGTTATAATTTAATTTAAATAAAGATTCTTAATCTTCATCGTTATCAGTTAATTTCATGTTAGAATATAACTTTCAGTAGACTACCTTCTGAGTAAAACGTCACATTCTAATCCTTTCTTTTCACATTTTTCCACTGCTGCCCGACTTTGGTTTGATCACACTTCATTTTTATCCTTCATTATGCAACTAAAGAAAAATTTATATTTTTTTATAGAAAAAATATAAAATTTTCTGTAGGGGGCTAGAAATTTTTCGCAAAAAAGTTTTGAAGAACTTTCTTATGAGTATTGTATATTTTTTTATGATTTCCATATTGAAACGTGTTTTTTATTTTATTCACATTTGGCAGAACATTACTGTTTTTAAGAAGCTCCAACAATTTTAAACTAAAATTCATAAAATTTGCTTAAAGATTTTGTAAAATATAACTTTTACCCTAACAAAAATATCTCGTAAGAAGCTTCAGCCCCAAACTATCTTTTGATTATGCCTCAGACATCACGTGGTGTGTTATTATCAAAGTATAAGAAATATAATCATGGTTCCAAATACCTGGATAACTGTACTTTGAAATTAATTTTCACATGTATGAAAAAGAAATTGTTGGTGTACTCGTATTCACGCTTTAATTACATTTCTCTAGTTTGCTGGATGCTAGTTTTTCGTCTCCTGGTCTGTAAAAATTATCCACAGATTTTTAACAAATTAGATTGTCGTATAAGTAATTTCTTATTGTTAATTGAAAATTAAACTTTTTTGCACATTTTAGCTTATTATTTTAAATTCCGATTCGTCTTAATCTTAGTTTTCTTTTTTACTTTTTCGTTGTTTTTTGCATTCATGTTTTTTTATCGTGCGTTTCATCTTGTCTATATCTCTGTGCTTATATACAGCTTGCTCAATTGCAGAAATTTTTTTATTATTTTAAAATTAAGACGTATTTATGTCTGTTAACGTAATTTTAATTTTTAATATTACGTAATTTCATATTACCTATCGTAATACTAGAAATAAATGCGATAAGTATAATAATTTGTTTAATGTAGACTATGCATACTTTTGCTTTGCATGCAACCTCCACTTTTTGAGATGTTATTATTTCTCCCTTCCAGGCTATAAATGACTTCAGAGGAAAAAGCGGCATGTTGACAAGTCTAGACTCTGTCACTATACCATTAGCATACACACAGGTAAACAAATTTTCTTAATGTCATATGCGTTAATTTAAAACTGTCCGGTAAAACTGGTAAAATGACTCAAACATCTTTAAAAGTTATGAAATCAATTTTATAAATTATTTTCGTAAAAAAATTTTCTCTCTTAACTGGTGTTATTCAACTTTAAAAACCTTAATTAGTTAAAACCTGTTAAATGTAAATTTTTATCGTTATTTATTTTCTTTTGATACATTTTAACAGCACTACGGTATAGATTTCAATTTCACTTTACTTATTTTAAGATTCTACTGTTGAAAAAATTTTTTATGAAGGTTTCAAATTTAATGTTTTTTTTGAGGTGGTGATTCTTGCAGTTTTCATATTTTGTACTGCCTGCCTTATGGGAAGATATAAATTTGACGACGGGGATGAGGCAGATTATCATTTACCTCTACTCACAATATTTCAATTCATATTTTACATGGGATGGTTAAAGGTTTCATCAAATTACAAATTTTATAATCAAATTTTATAACCATATTTTTTATTAACGTTTCTGCTTTTTGGTCTGTTACGATGTATCTCAAAAAACAGCTAACAAACTATAAGTACATTTCAAGTCAAAACTTGAATAATTTATTTCTAAATTTAAATTGATTAATTTAATTCTAAATTAATTACAAAACAACTAAATTACAATGAATATTATTGATAGCATCAAAAATAAATATTGATAAAGTTACAGTGTAAAATATATATAACAAAAGACAAGTGACTAGTTGCATTAACTCATTATAGAAATATTAATCTATCTGCCATGTGTTGCTGCAATATCAGAAAATATGTTTTATTTATCATTTGATCACTGTGAACGTGGCGCGTAAAAACGTTTATTTATTGACCTGACAAAATCGACCAGAAGATCTAAAAAACTACTCATCAGCCAAATATAAAATTGTTAAAATTGACAACTGATAGACTCAAAGGCGTATTTACAAAAACTGTGGCCCTAGGCGCACGACCAATTTGGGGCCCTCTCGCCTATAAGGCGATCAATGATCATAATACAACAATAGTTAGAACACTCATACCCATGTATTATTTAACATGCATAGATACTACAGCTATAGATACTAGTTAGAAATTACAATTGTCAGTTTATTACAGTTATATAACTTTTTTCCTGCTCTTCAATTTCGCGAAGGAGTCAATGTGCGCATTGAAATCGTATTCTAATGTCTCCTTGGATTCAATGCATAAAATAGACAAATCTCCCAGCTTACATTGGCTGATGGAATTCCGCAAGTAATTCTTGATCCTTTTCAACACAGAAAATGACCGTTCTCCAGTTGCGTTTGATATAGGAATGGTGAGAAAGATTCTTAGAAGGGTTTCCACATTGGGAAATGTACATTGTAGTCCACCCACCACTATAAGCTGGTACATCTCTACCGCAGATTTTGCGCCTTCTTCCTTAGCGAAATGCAAAAACTGTTTGATTTCATCACCAGCGGTATCCAAATTAACTTCCTCTTTGTATTCTTCGATCAAGGCCGAGATCTTTGTGTTCATGTCATCTACCTTGTCCTTGAAAAATAGACTGAACAAATCATGTATACCTTTCTGCAACCGAATTACCAACTAGATTTAAGCTATAGCTAGAGCAGGGAATGTAAACTACATTGGGACTGTGTGCCTTGATTCGCGCCTGCAAGCCAGAGTATCTTCCAGACATGTTAGAAGCATTGTCGTAACTCTGTCCCTTGCATTTTGTGATATCTAACCCCCATTTCTTTAAAACGTCTAGTATCACTTGCTCCAGATTTTGAGCGTTATGAGCATAGATGTCAACAAAAGTTAAAAATCGTTCTTTAATTTCACCATCAATGAGAACATATCTGAGTATCACAGTTAACTGGTCCACGTGGCTAACATCAGGTGTTGAATCAACAATCAAAGAAAAATATATCGATTTCTTTACTTCTGAAATAAACTGATCTCTGACAGCATTGCCCATTATTTCAATAAATTCGTCACAAGTAGCATCATGTGACAAATAACTAACAGAACCACTTCCCTTGTTACCGTACCGAGCAATATGATTTGCTAAGAAAGGGTCATATTTTGACAAATAATTCAAGCAACTAGTAAAGTTGCCGTCATTGTTGTCATGACCACGAAAAGCCAAACCTTGAGAGGAAAGAAACTACAGTTGCTACAATCCTTCGTAGAACTTATCTCCAGTATTGCCTTTCATCATCTGACTGTTTCGCCATTTGTTTGTCAATACGCCCGTTTGCGTTTAAGCGTTTAGCCAAAGTGCACATTGCTTGAACATGACCATACGAATTTTCATGTTCAGAAATTTTCGCGGCAATATTTTTCCAATCTGAACACCCATTTGTTGAAAATTGACTATCTTTATTTGGAAACAGTTTGCATACATAACAATAAACACTTCCACTAGTTTCACTGAACACTAACCATTCACGTCTTTCTTTTTGGCCATTCGCCTTGGTCAAGTAAAAGTTATGTTCAGACAAATGACGAAAATATTGTCTGCCACGATCTGTCATCAACATGCTAGCGCGTGAAAAGTCGCCAACATTTTTTGGTTTGAAATCCAAAACATAATTACGCATGGTTTCTGTCAAATTCGCTGGCCACATAGCAATATCTGTCAAAATTTCACTATAGTTGTTATCAACAGTTTCAATACACGCGACCTCTATAGAACCTTCAGCCGGCGGTTCAGATTCTGGCAATTTTGTTGGATAGGAACTCAGAATCCATACTGGCTGTTGCCGAGACGACTGCACTTTGATTACCAGCTGTTATTTCTGTTTGAGTAGTTTCTGATGATGGGGTTACCGGTCGTTTCGCTAAAAATGTCAACAAGGCGCCTTCGTTTTTCGCATTTTCTGCTTTTCTTTTCTTTTGAATATCGCGTTTTTTGCACCTGAGGGATATTGTCCCATAGACATTGTTTTAATCTTAATGAAACGATTGTGTTGCAATCAGCAGCAGAAAGGAAAAATGATCATTCATCCAAACAGTGAAATTATTAAAATAGTTTAATAAACTGGCAATTAACAATTAGTTATTGCAAAAAACTAAAATTTGAATTGAAATTTTTAATTGAAATCTGTGACGTAAGATGCGCCAATAGTGTTCGAATTTTACCAAAATTCAAAAGTTTGTTTACATTTTTAATTTAGGGTTGAGCGAAAATTCGCGCGCGCATTTTTGGCAACGCATAAATTGTTGTTTGTATATTTTTTTTCATACGTTGTTCAAAAATATTTAGAAATAATTATGAAATATATTATCTGAAAATGTAAAATTAATTTTTCTCAAACTTATTAAATTTTTTTGTGCGAAATATTTTGAAGCCTCCAAAAAACTCATTTTTCAAGTTTTGGGGGCCCCTAAAATCTGAGGGCCCAAAGCGCGCGCCTAGTGCGCCTATGCCTAAATTCGCCACTGCTGATAGTTTATTTTTGAAGATGGCATGCATATTTGTTAAGACCACTTCCGGTAAAGCATTCTATATTCCAACGATTCTGTGCGAAAAATAAGGTGTTTGGTTGCTTTGTTTGAGTTTTACAAAAGACAAATCTAAAATTAATTGGCCTCGTTCTAATGTTTACAATTCTTTGGAGTATAGTCAAAACGGATAGGGGAGATGATTGATTCCGTAATAGCTGGGCAATTTTACTTTTCTTTAAACATTTTTAATCATGGTTTTCATGATTATTACTGCAAGGGTTTTGTGATGATGAACATGATCAATTATTGACAATTATTGAACATCTTGCACCTCAGTTAAGGTAATCAGCACAAGTTTTCATTATAACTTCTTGATTGCCTTTGATCTCAATAAAATTTTGGAAAAAAATGATTATTGAGCTGAATGAACGAAGATATAATTTTATGTCGTCATCAGAAAGCAACTTTTAAACAGCATTAATGAGATACAATCATCGATATTCCTGCTAAAAATTAAAATAAGAACGGGAAGAAGAACACCACTGGTTAATGCCACAGGTTAATTTTTTCTGTATCCAGGCTTGATGTGAACGTCCAAATAAAAAGTTAGTAAACCAGAAGAGCAGATTCCAGAAACTCCATAAGTTTCTGAGTTGTTAACTAGTTTGACATGTAGAACAAAGTACATAGTAAAAATAGTTGAATATGTGATGAAAAATACAAAACGCCTAATGTATGCCTTTCGAAAATTCAGATAGACTTTGTTGCAACGTAATGTTCCTCTTTTTTGATGAGATAGCATAATTTGAAAGTTAATTATTTTTGTGTAGTTGTGTCTTGTGATATGGTTGATGATTACCCTCCCCCCCTACTGAATTTCAATAGTTACAAACTACAATAGTTCTGTTCAACTCCCGTCCAAAACTTTTAATGGAGAACATTTTAAATAAATTTTTGATTATTCAGTTCTTTACATTTGGTATACATTGTACAGCCAATGTTTTGGTTTTATATATTTCTGCGTTACTACTGCTTCTATTTGCGTTTTTTTATTTAGTGGAATTTTTGTCTCACAAATACGTGGCAATCGTTGAATGTAGTGTCATTTGTGCGGTAAACATTATGAGACATTTCTGAACACACGACGTTTTTTTTAGGAACAATAGGAACAATATATCCAGTCATCAAAGTTTAAATGTTAAAAGTTAAAATTTTCTACTGCAAAAGAACTTATACAAATGCTTGCTTTAAAATTATTTTCTAATAAAGATTTGACAGCAGCAGTGACAAAATAGTTCCATGTTTCATTTTATACAGATTTGTTTTTATTTATTGAATGCAAACATTTTTTTCAATCCATATCTAAGGAACGCCTAAACAACATTTTTAATAATTTGTTCTAAAATTAGTTAACTAATAGTTAATAATCACTCTTGTTGAAATAGTTGAGTAGTTACTATCTTTTTAACATAACGATACTAGTTAACTAATTTTTATAGATGGTTAACGCATCACTGAGAATCAGCGATTAGTGAGATAAAAAATGTGAAAGGTTTTCTGTTAGTCGATCTGGCAAACAGAAGACAAAGTTTTGAATGAATAAAATTACTTCATAAATCGGATAAAAAAATTTTGTTGATTATTTTTTCCATTACACAGCAATATGAACAAATGAATGATATAGGTCTGTAGTTGTTGGGGGTACAAAAATGGGACCTTTAAGTGCATACGTGTTATGAAATAGATAATAAAATTAAATATTTTTATGAATTATTTTACAATATTTATTTACTGAGAGCGTTTGCTAATTTAGGTTGCTCTAAGTGGGTTGCATGCATTCGGTGATGATGACGATGACTTCGAGCTCAACTCTCTAATTGATATGGCTTTACAGGTTTTGTTTTTGCTTGACTAGCAAAAATTGATGTAATATTAATTTTACAATTGTATGAATTTCATTTTACCAAAGTGATCCTCTAATGGGGTGGGTTTTATTCTGAAGAAATGACTCTCCAGGCGCTATTTTTAATCCGTGTCATTGATTGATACCAAGTTGCGAAATTTTTGCAGATTGCTCTCGTAATGGAAACAAGTTTATTTATTACAAGTTAAAATTGACAGTTGTAATGCACGGTGGGCATGCTGGCGTTGAAGATGATATCGTCTTTTTTGTCAACAAATGGCATTTTGCAATTGGTCACGTTATGCTAAAATTAAAATAATATCTTCAAAATCCCCGAATGGCGTTGCATGTGAGAGCCACGTTATATTTAAATAAAAATAATATCTTCAAAGTTCCTGAAATATTTTCATGACCTAATATCCTGACATGAATATGCGAGATTAATTCGATGATTCTCCGTAAATTCCTATTTCGTTATTTTTTTGCTTATTCTCGTAATTTACATTTTGTTCCCGTTCCAGTAGAAAAGTGATTTTCAACGCTCTTTTTGCCATTTTTTTGCAACTTTTTAACTATAATTTAGACGGAATCTCGAATATTTTTTTTTCATGGTCTAGCGCGGGGTTGGTTTTCTACTAACTGCTCTGGGTTTAGCCAGAGAAGGTTCGGATGCAAACTTGGCGTGTCCACCATGCGATGCTCTAATAAGCAGATGAATATATCGTACTCGGCTTTGACATCCCAGTAATCTGTTTCCGCTTGCTCAATAAGGCTTTTTGATAAATTTTAAAACAAATATGTCCTGAAAATTGCTTTCAGATTCCTAAGTGATTTCGAAGTAGTTAGAGGAGAAGATGGAAAGTTCGGGAAAAAAATTAGAAAACGCAAAGACTGACTTAGCTCAACACTTTTTAACAGGAATCAAGAAAAGTTTTTAGATTTATAGATATAAGTTTTAAGATTCGTAAAAGTACCTATCTCAGTTTCATTAATTAATATTATTATTATTGGCATGTTTGTAAGAGCCCTTTAAAAAAATCTCAGAGGTGCTAATGATTATAGCAGTACATTACGTAGCACTTTATTAAAGCAATGGAGAAAAAAAACACATATTAGCACGAGTAAGCTTGGACAAAAAGATTGTTTCAACCTATTACGAAATTGAATAACAGACAACGTTGGATCACGAAGGTTCCTAGACAAACATGTATGATAGTTATGTTCTTGTTTTTTTGAAACCTATTTTTTAATTTTTTGAAAATAGAATTCATAAATTTTTACATTTACAACTGGATCGCAAAAACTAAAAGCAAAACATAAAAAGAAATTTTTAATGATTTCGCCTCAGATTATTTGTTATAATTTAGGGTTGGTTTGTGACTCATAATTAAATTGAAGAACTAATTTACGTTTTGTGATTGAATTTTTTGTTTTCATGAAATATTTAAAAGGGCTAGCAATGAAATTCTATTTTTAGTGTTATAAACTGTTACTAAACTATAAGGCATGAAAACAGCCATATTAAAAAGTAGAAAAAAAACCTTTCATTCTTTCGGTGTTTACGTTCTAAGACAATATTCATAATTGTGTTTTATCCGTTTGTTAATAGTTTTGCAGGTGAATTAATAAACACATTTATGCAGTCAAATTTATATTCCTAGACAAAATGTTTGTTATTTCATTTTCTAGGAATCCTATTTGATTGTAGATCAAATGTATGACGTCTTACCAGAATATGGGCACGATATATTCTGGAATAAACGAGTTGAAATACCATACACAGAGATGTCCATCATGACCATGAAAGATTTCTACATTGGATCTGCCACAACATACCAGTTTTTAATTTTCGTTTTACATTTTTTGAAAGCTATACGAGTTTGACAGTTATCGATTCGATATATCATTATAATGGCGCTAAAGTCATAAAAAATGCTTGAAAATCTTGAGGCGAAATTTTGACTGCAGACATTTAGTTTTTGTTGAATTATATTTTTTTGTTTTATTTTTATTATAGTAGGAATACAAAGATATATATATATATGAAGCTTTTTTTGAAAACAGAAAAATAGAATTGCATGATTATTACTTTATTCTCCTTTTTATTTTTAGATTAGCACTGTTATTGTTACTTTAATGTTCACAATAATTGAAATTTTATACCCTTTCAGGGTTCCGATTTCTCAACACAGAATAGTTGAAGTCATTGAATCCCCAATCAAGCCAGAGAGGCTTAAGTATGGTAGAATTTAAATATTTCATTAATTGTTTTTCCGTTTTATTATTCAAATAATAATTTCAGTCTTAAACAAAGTTTAGCAAAAAAAGAAGATAAAGAGAAATTGCATTAATTTTTATACAAAATTTTTTCCCCAATACTTCTTAAAAAATAACAATGGTTAAAGTTCGGCAAGAGCCTTTCATAAAATTTTTTGCACCAGGTATTTGGTTAAAAAAAAGTCAGAATTTCAAAAATTCTGCAACGCATAATTATGAAATAAGTTATTTTGGGCTTTCCCGCATCTAGTTAAAAATTTAGTTTAGAAAACTTTTCTACGTTTGGCTCCAAGAAATTATTAAAGTTTTTTCGAAAAAACACTAAATAGCAAGCGTTTTTGAGAATTTTACGTTAATCACTGAAGCCTTTCGGTTCATACAAAATAATAAGAAAAATTTCTCGAATTTTTTTAAAAAACAATTTATCGATCATAAAGATGCCGATCTTTTGTGGTTGACTCCTTCGTCGCCCATTGCTTGACGTCACAAATTCAATGAATATTTAGTCTTTCTCACCTTTCTTCATTTTTGTCTAGATTTAAATTGTTGTGGTAACACTCGGTTATCCTAACTTTTATACGAAAATAATCTATTGCAGTATGTCAGCATTCCAATACATGATTAAGTGCGGTAACATTCATAATCACATTATTACTTCTACGTCAATAGTTGACAACATGAAGAATGTTAGAGCATCGGACGTCATCTCTCTGGCCATAAAATTTTTTGCGGTTATAGGCACGCACAAAGCCAAAATTTTAACATAACGATTCAACAACAAAATATATATAGAATGAAAAACTACAATTTTTAAATTTCCAGTTTGGTTAAACGTTTGAAGACATTGAAAGAAAGAAGAATCTCGTCAACGAAACCAACTGAAAGTATGTAAAACCTTTTATTGTCATTTTAATAGAAATATAAATCAGCAAGGACGAATTTATTAACTCTTTTATCATGTGAGCTTAATATAGCTATGTTAGCATAAAGTAAAGTGATTAAGAACTGACTTAACAGAAACAATGTAATTAAAATATAACGCATTACCCAGTACATAGAAGATGCCAAAACAGTCCTGAAAGGAATTTATGTTGCATATTCAGGCAAGCGAAAGAAAAGCAAATGAATTTTAGACTATTTTTGGAGAAAGTTAAGGTATAGAGATGTTTGGGAAAAGAACTTCTAAAGCTGTATTGCTAGCTCAAAAATTTTTCATGAAACTGATATTGAATCAACTATAATAAAAGTAGCATTAGTTTAAAAAATGGGAATGGATAATAAAATAGGTCTAATCCGAATTTAGTGAAAATTTATTAAATTGATTTTTTACATTTGGGCTTTGAATTATAATAAAGAAAACAATCATTTGCAGCACCCGATAAATCCTAGCCAGCTCTGCACCGGCTTTTTGTTCTAGCGATGGGTATCTTTTAGAACAAATACTAAAAGTAATTTCAAATGAATGCTACAATTTTCCATAATAGTGTATCCATTTAATAAATATTGATAAATAGTTGTTGAATAATTTTTTAAAGCATAATTTTAATAAAATAAATCGGTATGCAAACACTGAATAGAAAAAATAAAATCCATAGCCCTTAGAAGCTAACTAAAATGGAATCGTGATATCAATAATTTGTAAAAGGCACAACTCACACATTCACATTAAACAAAATCTTGTTATCCATGCAAATTTTTATTCTATTTTTAAATATGGCATCAATATCGATAACGTATGGAAAAAATTATTCATCGACATAAATTTTTGACAAATTTTGTCTGCCAGTAAAATCCCTTGCTTAACACTTAGCTGTATTGACATCGAAACTAAAGCAAAAAAAGCTAAAACAAAAGTCATAGAGCGAGTTTATATTGAATTTAAATTTTGAAAATTTTCAAAACAATCTAATTCATCAACCCTATAGTTATTCAAATTGAAGCAAATATCCTCGAAAATAATCGAAATCTACAAAGCTAAGCAAGGGGTCTGAACTCTCGATATTAAACGTAAAAAATCTAAGATTAAATTAAATAAAAAAAACTTTTAAAAAGCCATACAATAATGTATAAAAACTTCGTTTAAAAATATTTTAAAAAAATAAGCAAAATTACAAAAAATGAAGATTAACATGACTTAATCCGAAAAAGGACTATGTGAATAAAATTAATTTAAAATGCCTTTAATGACTAGGTAAAAAACAAGTAAGAAAAAAGAAACATGACAACGTTACAGCGAAACCAATACAAATTGGGTGAATTCGAATGAAAAGCGAAAAATTAATCAGGGTCGTCACACGAATTTTACTTCTTTACAGAATAGGTACATTAAATGCACTTTTAAACTATTACTCTACATTGACACTTTCGGCTGGCAAATCAGCAGCCATGTTATTCTTACTTTCGCTTTTTTCTGTTTTTGTGTTGGAGTTATCACGCGATTCTTTTTGAGTATCGTTAGAAACTATTTCTTTGTTTTCATTTGTGGTGTCAGAGTCTCCGTTTTGTATTACTTCGACCTGCGGAGACTGACTATTCTCTAAAACATCCACATTTTCTTTTTGACTATTGGTTGTTTCGTCAATATCGGCAGTTTCTTTGGCGTTCTCATTTTCAGTCACGTCTTTTTTTTCATTATCAAGCGTTTCGTTGGTTGTTTCTACTGATTCTTCTGTCTGTTTATTTTTTTTTCAATAAATCCACTTAATAAATAAAGTTAATATTTTAAGGTTGCGATTATTTTTTAAATTCTAGATTTTTCAGAATTAATGACTATCCTACATTCTAAAATGCATGATAAGGCAATAATAATTTGCTATTATACTGTGTGATTGGCACCTTATGCAACTTGAGTATGCGTCATATAATTTAAATAAAATTTTTTGAACAGTTTTTTACGGATTGTTGAATTAAAAGATTTCTAATGTAGAAAGCATATTATTAACTCGCTAAATCTAAACAAAATTGAAAAAAATTTCGTTTCCCAGGGCGTGAGGTGATTGTGTTACTAAAACGGTGGCTTTTTCAGTACAATATAATGCTGTCGATATTTTTGGGTTAACATGTCTTGCGATTAGTCAACGTGAAAAGCATTTCATTGGTACAGCCCTATATCTAGGCGCTGGATTAATCAAGAATTTTTTAGCCACTTGCTTTTCAACATGGTAGGCTTCAAAAACGTTTTACAACGTTGCTATACTGTTTTCATAGCGCATTTTAAGTTGTCAATCAAAAATCTAGCAATTAGTTAATTTTTGCAGACATTACAGTTAATCAATTTTTTTAAATTCGATTAAGATAGAGTAACCTGTTTTCCATTTGGTTCATCTGTTTTAACTCTTTTCATTATAGTTTCTAATCTCTTGAAGTGAAAATAACATTTGATTAGTTTAAGGACTAAAGCAATATGTGAAAAAAAAGTTCAACATGTTTTTAGCATTTTTGTTACTATATTAAATTATACAAAAACGTTGGTGACAGTTTTTATTTGCATAATTTGCAGATTCTGCAAAAAATAAAACGTTTATGTCTGCAGACGACATCTGAATAGGTCCTGCATTAGAACTCTGCACCTAAGAACTTGTGCTTGTAATTATTTAATCTGCTGATCTATCATCTATACATCTACTTGTCGATTTTTGATCAGAAGAAATAACAAAGGTGAAAAACAAGAGCGCAGGGTAGAATGGAATGTTAATAAAACCGGTTGAATAAGAATTCACATGCCAGAAAAATTGGAAATGTGCAAATCCGTTCTGGTAATGTAACATAAAAGGAGACAACAGATTGTGTAGTCAATAGTACTATTCACCACATACGCGAGATCATGTTGATCGTCTTTTAAGAATGACTTGGAAATATGGAACAACAGAGAAAACAACAAATACTTTGATATTGAGACTGTTGATAGAAGACGCAAAGTTTTAAGCAATAGATGTCAAAAAAGCGTTTGACCTGATCGATAAAAGTGATCAGAGAACTTTGTGAAGAATCAAAAATGACTAAGAAATGGCACAGACATGGAAATAGATTCACAGTATGAATTAGAAGCAGACCCTGTGTCATCACTCACTACGATCTGCAACATTAAAAAGAATAACGGAAAAATATAAACATTCATGATGATCGGAGTTGATATTGTATAATGGGTGAAATTATTTCACATTTCTGGCAATATTCCGTTTGTTGTGAGCAATATTTGTCACTGATTTGATGATTTGTAATGTTTACTTTGTTGTATTGACACATATTCATAAAAATGTGAGATGATTGATAAAAACATGTTTAACTATACTTTTATAGATTACTTAAAGAAGTTCCGGCATAAAGTAACATTTTATAAGTTGGCTATAAAATATGGTTATGATGCATATGTGAGTAAAGATAAACGCACAACTCCGCAGTTTTTTAAAATGCAACAAAATTAATTGAAAGACGGTCCAGTGAATGTTGAGAACACAATTTTTGTGAAAGAACGCGTAATAATGCCTAATTAATGTATCAAACGAAAGTTAGGTTTTAAGAATACCGTTGAATCTGTTGAAGAAAACGCTAGAAAAAAAACCAATCTCCAACAAAGAAATGGTTGTCAAAATATGCTTACGTCATACAAAAACTTTGTTAAAAACAGCGGGTAAAAGTTTTTTGTAAATGATGGTCGGAATAAATCATCATAAGTAAACAAACATCAAGAGTTATCCAAATAAAAGGAATGGAGGCATGATATCCTCTGATTTTACTATAGGATTTAGCAAGCAAAATCAATAATTCGATTAGAATTATCAGTGTTGTAGAAGCTAGTTTAGACATTTTACAGTTGATCAGTTTTAATTGAGAAGTAAAGAAAGATAACATAACTCCGTTGATTTAACGTGATCAAACCATTTAAATCAATGCCAAGTCACCTTTTTCCTTTCTAATTTCTCTTCTTCATCTTTTTTTATCTTTATTTGTCTTTCTTGTTCAATTCTTTCTGCATCTTCTTTAGCTAGCCCTTCCAGCTTTTTTTTCTTTAACAATAAAATTTAATAAAAATTTATACTGTTGCATTATATTCTATACATCTTTGTCAAATTCGTAGGTATTCCTTGAAAGCAAAGAAATTTAGTCAGAGATTGTATTAAATGTTCAAAATTAATTCAATACTAAAGGTAACATATCTTACTGCAGCTGAACACCATTGCTTTGTCTAAGCAAAAAAGTTATGAAAATGGCCACCTTAAACATGCATGCAGCTATGCACAATGCAAAAATGATTTTGTAACTTAGAGCGGCGTAGTCGTTAAAGGCATCTGGTTATGCGTTGCAATGACTGGGCTTGGTTGCAAAGAGGTTCCCGCTTATCATATGCAGTGTGATGTATGGTGTTCATGCAATTTCATGTACGCTGTGTTTGTTGTGTGTTGGTCGTTGATATCTCTGAAGGAAGTGCACAAGAGAGATTGACCTTTAACCTTTTTTAACCTTTGTAATGTTAGCGTAGAAAGAAACGTGCCTTACATAGATTTAAAAAGTAGACTTCAGTTCTTACAGCCTATGAAACTGTGTTATAAATAAATAAAAACAACCTCTTGTGTCTCTTTTTCCAACTTGTCAGCTTCTTTTTTCTTTTTTTCGTCTTCTTCATGAATAAACTTTTGAAGTCTTTCCTCTTCAGCTTTTCTTGATTCTTCCATTAGTTTCAACTCTTCCTCTTCCCGAGCTTTTTCTTCTGCTTTCTTTTGCTCCTCTTCAGCCAGTCTGAAATTTATAATCATTATACTTGTAACAGGACAAAAAAAGAATCTGTTTAACGTTTTAACCTTTGTTTTTCTTTTTCAACTTCAGCTTTTTCTCTTGCTTGCTTTCTTTTTTCGGAAAGTTTAGCTTTATATTCATCAGATTGTTTTTTTTCCTCATCTGGTTTTTCTTTTTCTGAATTTTCTGTGGAATTTTTAGCAGCTTTAGAAATAAATTTAGCAGGTTCTTTAATTTCCTTTTGTTTTTGTTTTTTGGCAATGTCCAATGTCCTGCTTTTCTTTGGTTCAGCTGCAGTTGTTTCTTTCCCTCCCTAATTTAGAAACAAATACATGGATATAGAATGTTGCATAAAAGAAAGGCAATTCAAACCCTTGAAGAATCCCTGCTGTGAGAATCCTTTGGTGCTGTTGATGGTTTGCTTGGTAACTTTTTAGCTGCTGGCGTTTGATGTGGTTCTTTAGCATTTGCCAAAACATCAAGTGAGGAAGTTTTTTTTTTCAATGTATTACCTTGAAATAAATAAATTTAAGATAATATGTATTTCTTACTCAAACAAAAGAATTATCTAAACTGATTTTTTTAGCAAAAGGCTTTACGGAAGACTTTGAAGAATGGCCCATAGAATGTGGTGTTGAGCCTTCTGAAGCAGATGTATGATTTGAAATTGAGTTAGGAATGTTTGAAACAAATTTAGACCTTCTTGAACTTGGTTGTGATAACTCTATCATTTTTTCTGCCTGGTTTCGTTTAGTTTCAGCACTACGAGATCTCTGTTCTTTAATAAAAGTACTGAGAGCTGTTGGTGAAGAAGATCCTGTAAATGAAAACTAAAAATAAGTATGTTTGTAACATCATTACGAAACTAATAGACTGACTGTATCTTTGGCAGACTGGGAGATGTTGTTCATTGAACATATCTGTAGTGCTATGACATAATGAGATTCTCAATTGGAATGCAACTGTTGGTTGAGCATAACCTGGTAAACTATCTCCACCAGTTTCAGAATTGGCATTTCTAATAAATGCAACTTCTGGACTTTTTTTTTCATTATTCCCTTTAGCTATGATGGAAAATTGCAAAAATTAATTTTAATAAACTTTGTTTTCTTTCTAAATAAAAACAACTCACAAAACTTTTGACTTGATGGTCTGTTTTGTTCAGGTTTACTGACGGACTTGGAAGATTTTTCGTTCTTGAATTGAATTATTGATTAAAAATGTTATAAATTGAAATTAAAAAAATATTATTGTCAAGAGGACATTATATTAAACATTTGTAATTCCAAGTTTTAATCAAGTTAATAAAATTAAGCCCATTTGTATTGAATAACACTCTAATTTATAAATAAAATTATAAAAATTAAACTAAAATTTTAATTGTCAGAAACACCTACCAAATTGCTTTGATGTCCATTGACTTCTTTTGAGACTATGTCACCTACTTTGGTTAAACTATCTTTTTCATTTTTATCAGCAGAAGACATATCTGTTGTTTCTGCACTAAGTATTTTCTCAACTGACACCTTTTCATCTTCATTCACTTTGATTCCATTGCTTACTGAAATGTGAAAAGAAATAATAAAAAATTTAAAGTGATTTTAACGCTAAACCTTATTAGTTTTTTAGATGGTATGCAATTTCAAAATTGGAAATTCAGAATTACAATGAATAAACATTCAACAAATTAAATAAAATTATAAAACCATTTGATTTTGAAGTTATTAATAAAAATGCAATGTTAAAAATGTTTAAATTATGATAATTATATTTGATTTTTCATTAATAATCATGTCATCTATGAACTATCTATTCTAATGCTAATCTATACTATGTAGTGTATAGTGTAGTGTAGAGGTATGACTATGATTGACTCATCCCTCATTCATGCATGGGTAAAATCCAGCTTTTAAAAATAATTAATTTAAATTTGCCCAAGTTTTTAATTTCAAATAAATGAAAAATTAACGGTATAAAAAGATAAGGCAAAACAACGTTGATTATTGAAAAAAAAACAAACCCAGCAATGACGAATCTGCCATGTTGTGTTGGGAATATAAAGTATATTGTAAGTGAAGCGTACAATGAGAATCAAGTTTATACTGTATTTGAGATTTGATGTAATGAAAACTAATATTTCAAACTTTCTGCAAATCACTAAATTGTAATTTTAAGAAATTTATTAAAATTATTTATTATATATTTGACTAAAACATTTCACAATTAGTCTCATATTTAGAAGAAAATAGAAAATATCAAGCGATCTACAATTTTTACACCGTCATCTTACACAAAGCAAATTGATTTTTTCATTTAACCAAGCCAGAGATGAACAGATGGTCGGCAAAACACGTGATCACAATTCGAGTTACTTGCTTACATTGCCTGCCATATAAGATATCCCTTGTATGTAATTGCAATATCAATGTTGTTAATACATAATTCAATTGAAAGCAGTATATGAGAAAATGCTGTCAGATTCTTAGCTGTCCGTTTTGATTTTACATACTTACCATATCACTTAGAATAGACATACTCGTATATTTACGTTCATATTATACTCAAGGAAAATCAATTAGTTTTGTTTTAGGCTAAGATGCTAAGTTAAACTTAAAAAACGGTTTATTTGGCGTTAGGTTAATATGAGCTTTTATCAGCCAAGCGAGGGAGTTCAAAAACTCCCCTATAGTCAATTTGTGTTTGTTTAATTAAAAGAAAAAATCAATTGCTGAATAAAAAATGATAATTTTAGATAAAGTGATCTGTTGAATTAGATTATATAATTAGATTATAAATTAGATTATATAATCAGCCACAGTTTACTACTTTTAATAGCAGTGTAAAATGTTACTGTTTGAAGTTAGTCAATATCGTGGTATTTTATACCATGATATTGTCCTGTAGCATTCTTGCTGCATGTATTATAACTAAGTTTTACGATTCTTTCAAACGAGAGCAGGCGTCATTGGATCATTATAATTGGTGCAGGGAACCAGGGCCGCCGACAGCCGAACCGGGCCCCAAGTTTAAATGCATACCGGGCCACTCATGTTTATATATAGGTTACATAAGCGTTTTTGAGAAACTTTAGTTTATAAAGAGCGCTATATAAATGCTCATAATAATATATATTGTTTTTTTACACGGGCTATCAATCAATCAATAGATTTATAAAGCGCTATTTCCGCGATGTTCAACAGCACTCCTCAATGAATTTTTCAAACAGATGGGCTTGAGATCCGCTCTGAACTTCGTCAGTGATGGAGGTGTAGTCAAAGAAGAAGGTAGAAAGTTCCAGAGAAAAAGGCCAGAAAAAGCAGACTACCTACAAACAAATAAAATCCACCTACTGTTTTTCTTTTGAATTTATTTAGGGAAAGGGTTATAAAATAAAAATTGAAAACATGAAAACATTTAAACCGAATTTTATTTAACATTAATTGACATTAGAAAACGGTTTTGATTTACAACTAAACTTTTCAACATTTTTATTAACAAAGTCTTCAATCACATCATCAAAATTATATTTGAAATTCTCTACTATTTTGATGTTTTCACCATTATGCTTGATAGGTCTTAATATCAAAACTTTCTGGTGGGTTAACGACCATTTGGACGGTCTTATAGACATTTATTTTAAGGCCAACGTTTGCCGCACTGAATTGAGTTGTTGAACCTTCTCCATTTCATTTTTTAGTAATCCTATAATCGTTTGCAAAGTCGAGATCACACAGTTTTTGATGAATTGAGGTTGAGTTTGGCCCTGGTTGATGTGGCCTATGTTTTGCTAGCTCTATGAGTGATATAACCAAAGTCGTCTTCTGCCTCTTTTGAAATGTTGTCGATGACGTTGATGAACAGGAAGGGAGCGAGTACATCTCCCTATAAAACTCCTGCTGGTATATTAAATACCTTTGATTGTTCTCCGCCCACAATTAATCTATTAGTTGACGAATCGTAGAGTATTCGAATTGCAACCACGATTTCTACTGGAATGCCGTAGTGTCGTAGGATTGCGAACATCATATCTCTATCTGTCGATTGAATCGAATGCCTTTTTTAAAGTTAATGAAGGTGATGCAGAGAGGTATATTTTAAAGATAAGAGCCGTCCATTATTTTTCTTAGAATGTGTATCCGTTGGATCCAGCTGCGACCATGACAAAAGATCGGCTTGATTCTTTTTCAGAAGATTGTCGATTGAAACCTGTATGCAGTTATAACTCAGTTATAAACTTTGGTCGCTATTAACATTTAACTGATTTTTTTGTAATTTGTCAAAAATTTTAGATTCCCCTTCTTGGGTAGTGGAACTATGAAACTTGAGGTTCATTGATTTGGTGCATGTTTGTGTTTTTACGATATGTTTATTATTGTGTCATGATGTCAATATTGATTAAAAATTTCAACATATTTTAGATACTTTGAATAGAGTTCTAATAGGTATTGTAAGTATGTGGGTTCTATATGCACGAGTAGTTAGCAACCCAAAGAACAATATTTAATAACCATTTTTAAATTTTAATGTCTTTGGTTTTCTTTTAGTTGCCGACTGAAGGCACTAGCTTTAAATTTTAGATGAAAAATTACTCGTTCTTGATTGATCGTTTGGTGGTTTCTAAATAAATTTGAGTTTAGTGCTGGTATAAAATATAAAATAAACTCAGAGTGATGGATGTCCTACCGAGATGTCTCGCTTGCAACGATTATTTTTCATTTGCAAGTCCGTTTTTTAAATATTATTATTATAAAAAATATAAAATAAATTATTATTATTATATTCTCTGTAGCAGCTAGTATCTATCCTAGTCTCATATCAAGTATCAATCATTTCTTTAATATTTAATTCTTGTTTATTTCATTGTTTCGTTTGCTCACCCAAATTTGTTTATTAATTCATTTCATTTAAATTAAAAAAATCATTTAATTAATTTTATTTGTTTTTTTAAATTAATATTTAATTATTCATTAATTATCTTTTATCCTCTTTCTTGCATCTTGCTCTAGTCTAGTATCTAGTTACTTCCTTGCTCCTATCTTTTCTAATACATTTCCATATCTTGTTTTTTATTATAGGTTACCAGTTTCGTTTTATGGTAGGCTTTTCATTATTAATCTCACTTCTTTAACCCCTGTTAAACACCCTTATGCTAAATCTGTATTTGCTTTTTCTGACTCTTTTCTCTGCCTCCTTTAACTACTTATCCATCACTTATTTATTATGAAGTTCAGAGTGGATCTCAAGACACATCTATTTGTGAATTTTATTGAGGAGTGATGTTGAGCATTACGGAAATGGTGCTTTATATTATAATAAGCTACTTGATTGATATTTGATTGATTTTTTTAATTAAATTTATTTATTTATTTATTCATTACTTTGATTCTTATTTTCCCCTTAGTGGTTCAGTGTAGTTTTTTTTTTAGTTCGAGTTTAGTTAGATTCAAGACTTTATGTTAATAATTTTTAGTAAAATAAATAAAACCATAGTCACTTACCTTTTCTTGATGGCCTTCACTACATTCAATTCCTATTTAGTTAAATAAATAAATTTAATTTTAATGATTAATAATATTAATGATAAGTTAAATACGAGATGCACAAAGTTAGCTTTGCAACTTCATGTACCTGAAAACTACAAGAAAACTTCAATTTTTTTAAATTTAACTATTGTAATTCATTCAAGTTTTTAACAGATTAATTGATATACCATACTCAACTTTATTCATCTAAAAATCTAATTTATTAGTGTTCAGTTTATTTGATGCAATTTTTTAATTTTCAAAGAAACAAAATTTAGGATTGTTATAAATTGAATTAAAAATTGCAATGATCATAAACAACTCAATTTTTAGTACCGATTTACTACTGCACTGACTGGTTAAGCTATCATTGTAAAAAGTAACTCTGCAATGATGTGACTGTCATGATATTTAATTTTTAATTGCTTTGTTTTTTATTTGTGACTCATTTTTACAAAAAAATCACACAGGTACTTATTTATAGAAATATAGTGTTAAATGTATTTTTATGAGTTTATTTATTTTTTCAAGAAACATTGTATTTTGATGAATTAAAAAATCTAGCTATCACATATTTTTCAATTTTGGCTGCATCTATTATTTAAAATTTATCTATGCAATATTAATTTGAAATGTAAAAATTATATTGTCCTAGCCTCTAGTTTGTATTCTATGATTTTTTATTTGCTTTCGAAACATGAAGAGGGCTTTTCAGAAGTTGCAAGACATATGTTATGTTTCAAACAATTTTGATAATTAATTTTCATTTGGTTCAACTGTATCCTAGGAGTTTAGAATCTGTGTTGTCAGAAGCATTGTCATTAGAAACACTGCTTACTGGATTACATGTATGTCATCCATGATAATTTATCTATGCCATTACAGAATTGTTGATATATGGAATTATTTTGGTTTAAATTTTTATAAATTACTTTCTGCATATGACTGATGTCTATTTTTCTGCTGCTTATCCCATTGTCTTTGTGGCACCTTTCAACTTCCCTTTTTTTTAATTACAGTTGTTTGGATAGTGACTGCTTTTTATTTGAGATGTTTTTAGGTCTTTTACAGATTTTTATAGATTTACTACTAAATTTTGTTAAGATGTAATTATAATGTAAAAATAAATTCAAAGTTATCCTGTGAATTATGAGCAAGCGTCCACATGTTTTTAAGCTTTTTTAATTGAAGGAAAAATTTTTTTGAGATCAGTTAAGACTTAAATTGCTTTTTTCATCAGAGCTATTAGCAGTCAGAGAAAAATTGAATTAACAAGAATCAGCAAATGATGCAGGTTCAAATTGTTGATGAAAATGTTGTTAGGCATAGGAGAAAAATGTTTTTTTATCAGGTGGTTTTCAAACATCAGTTGAAAAGTGTTAATGTTGAAAGTGTTTAAGAAGTTTGAATTAATCTTTTCAGAATCAGTTATTTGTTAAATTTATGTTGAAATCTACCACAATGTAAATTTGCTTGGGCTTGGATTTTTACATTGTGTCTAGTGATTCATAAAAAATTGTTTGAAACAGAGGGGAATTGTTAGCTGAAGGCCTCTCTATATTACCTAAACAATCTCTTGTGAAGAATTTAAGTAGCCAACTGACACCTGAATGTCGCCTGAAATCAAATTCATGTCATTCCTGACAATGTACTTTTTACACCTTGTTAAATATTCTCGTAGCCACATCATCTTAAATGCAAAATAACAACCAGGTCTATTGATTAAACAGCATGTTTTTATTATTTTTATCAGCTTTTCAGAAACTATAAATGTATTCATGTCGATTTTTATCTCATTTATAAGGCTGAAACTCATCAATTTTGGGACAATTTATATGTAATAATGCAAATTTTGAGGGGTAAGATGAAACAATTTATAAATTTACCTCAAGAAGAAAATAAGGCCAGGTTCAAATTTATGTGGACATTACATTGCCAACGTCTCAGCAATAAGAAGCTAGCCTCTATATAATATTATATGCAATTTTAAAAGAAGTTTCATTAAACTTTTTCATCATATGGGTATTTGGTGCAGATTTTTGTATTTTTTGCAATCTAATGCAGTTTTCATATTGAATGATAACGATTCTTAGTAATATAAAAATTGGGCTTGATATTGGTGACATTTATAAATATAATATTAATTTTTTTTAAATTACTTAGAAGATACTGGACATATTCCATATTTGTTGGAATGTGGACATATGTTTTGCCTTGCTTGTTTGAAAAAAGTTCTCAAAGACAAGATGTACCTGGCTTGCTACACATGTCATCACGTCACATGTCTGTTTCAAATGGAGGATTTTAAATCTTTGGAATTAGATGTGTTTTGCTACGGACTGCTTTGTCAAAATTCATTCTTTCCTAAATCTGAGTATTGCATTATTTTTTAAAATTTTGTTGGCTTTGCCAACCTGATAAATTTTTTTCATTCGCAATTATTAAGGAATGAAATCACGCAAACAAATATCATTGAAAAGGTTGTGAAAAAAAGTTAGACATATACTTAGATGAGCTGTTAATTGTTGATAATTATGTTGCTAATTATCCTTCCAGGAATTATGTGTCTTGAATGTAAAAATTGCGAAGCAGAGTGTAGATGTAAGACTTGCGTTGTTCCCTTGTGCAACGACTGTTTCAACAAAGTTCGGCATTTTCATTTTGAATATTTGCATCTACATTTAATTTATTTTTCTAAAATGCGATATTCATTTTTAGTCATTCATTGATTCATTCAACTGATGTGCACTCATGTAGCTGTAGATTTAGTAATTTGTTGTTAGACAGAAGATGATATTGATAAAGCAAATAATATAATTTTGTTACAATATCCTTTGAATGGCAAACTAATGTAAGGGAATGTTAGTTTTAGATGCATTAATAAGCCTTTCCAAATTCAAAATAATGAGCGGGGATTAATTTGCTCCAAATGTTTGTTCAATTTTAACTTTACTTACAGATTTGTTTTATTCTCAGTGATGGTGTCTACAGCAATTAAAAATAGGGCAGTGAGACAAGTAAATGTAAGCAAGGTAAAGATAAGTAAAGATAAGTAAAGATAAAAATTAATTGAGATAATCGATAATTAGGAATATTTTTCTGCTCTTCATGATATAAGTTTTAGTAGAAACTATGAATAGTGGTAAAATTATATTCAAATTCTTTTTATGTGGCAACATCATGGTCAAATATAAGGATATCTTCAAACCTAGAAGCGGAATGGTTTATACATCATAAGAATTTTGGTTTACGGATGTGGGTTTCATTTTATTTTCTGAGCTCTGTGATATGGAATGGTGGAATGAATGGTTTGCTTGGTAGCTTCAGACAACTTCTGGGATGGGTTCTGTTCTGTTCTGTTTTCTAGATCTCAATAGGATCTTGAGGGCTGATTGAGTAATTGATTTTGGTCTTCAAACAGAAACGATATCTGGTAAATGTGTACTAATGAATGCTTTTGAGGAAGTACAACAGGCAAACTAGAAAATATCAGTGGCTATCGGTCATTTTTTCTTGATGATTTTTGTAATAAATTTTTTAAAGTAATTTTTAAAGCGGTTTGCGTTAAAATAAAATTTTGTTTAGTTGAAATAAGATATAGTTTCACGTTTGGTTGATTTAGTTTAGTTTGTTTTGGCAATTATTTATTTTGATTATTTTTTATATTTTTTAGGTGCATTTATCATCGAAAGTTCTAAACAAACATAAGAAAATTTTATTGAATAATGACTCTTTTGCTTCAACGGACAGGTATAAAGTACTTTATATATATATATATATATATATATATATATATATATATATATATATATATATATATGTGTGTGTGTGTGTGCGTGTGCGTGTGTGTGTGCGTTCTACGCCAGGGACGCTTTCAAATCCTGTCAATATTAACCCCTAGTTTGAAAAAATTTCTGACACTCAAATTTTTAGCTCTGGACTTCAAATTCTTATTTTTCCGAGGTAAGTAAGTATGTAATGTTTGTAAAATTTGCATACCAACTTGATCCAACGAGTGAGTTGAAACATACAATTGCAAGTTATGAGCAATAATAATAATTAGAACATGTAAAACATATTCATTATGCTTTTTCATTTAAAAGTTTTTACAAAATTGGCAAAAACAACGATTTTAGAGCCTTTTGTTCAACGAAGTCGTTTTTCGTTTCCCATTATGAATAATTATAAGTAAGATTAAACGTATAAATTAATCAAATATGGAATCAACAATCAATTGAATGGACTATTGTAATATTTAACAATACAATTTTTTTAAAGATCAAATTACGTATTAGATAACGTCAGTTCAGAACTATGCTCCCTCCACAACAATCCCATCATGTTTTATTGCAAAGATGACGATACTAATATTTGTAACACGTGTCTTGAATTAACGCATAAAGATCATAATTTAATGGCAATCCAGGATAAGGTTAGTCAGCTTATGAATTCATTAAATGCTATCAACTTTCTTCATATGAATCGTTTTAAGATACAACACTCAACTTTGATGAATCTTTATAAATTCAACTAATCACATGTCACTGCACAGTTACATTGCCCAATAATAAATACGTATGTTGTATAAAATGCATTTGCAATGGTATTGCCAGTGGATCTTATTTGATCATAATAAATTTGGAATGACTTTTCTAGGTTGAAGAATTTAAAAAGTCGTCAACTCTTACTTAAAATTTTTTATGGAAAAAAAAATAGTATATTGGAATGATCTATTTGATTTTCAGATAAAAGATTCTTTATCAAAACTTAGTGCATTAGAACAAAAAGTCCGACATAACCTTGAATTAAATAAAATGGCTAAAAAGGTTTATTTATACTTTTTTATATTATCTGTTCTATTTACTTATTTGAGTTATTTAATCGTTACTTTGTATTTTTACTCATGTGATTCCACCAAATAAATTTTAATTTTGTTTTTGGCATCAAGTCATTAAGCATTCTGAATTTTAGATTAAAGAAACTAATGTTTTCCAACTCTTGTCATAAATGATAATGTGTCAACTTTTGAAATTCTAGCGCGTTTTGAAGCCACGGTTTTTCGGTTGACTTGTTTTTCTATTACTGATGTTGCAGTCCCGGCGGTTTAACTAGGGATGTGATTAAGTTGCACAGAATTATTTAACTTAATTTTTTTTACCTTTTTGCTTACATGTTCAATAAAGTTATTGTAACTGACAAGATATAATTTTTTTGTTATGTCAACTTAACATCAGCATACAGTGAGCCTACTTTTCTGCTGTTGTTTGCAAGTAATGATAATGTAAAAATTTATATTTATATTTCATTTCTTTTCCTATAGAGACTCTCTACAAATCATGATACTGGACTTTTTGATTATTACGTTGAGTTTTTAATTGATCATATAATACTTTATTTTTGAAATCAAAACTGTTTTCCAATGAACTCAGTTAGATGAGTTGAATGGAAGTGTAAATAAACTCTTAGAATGGCAGGTGGCGAATGATTAATAACTTTAACTAGGTACATACCAACAAGTCTTTATAATATGTAGAGGTTAATTGAACATAGGAGTGATACCATTACTGGCTTTTAATTTATATTAATACAAGAAACAATATAATGGTTAGGTTCGTTTTTAAAATGAAGGTGAAAATTTTAAAATAAATATAAATTTTTCAAATGTTTAGTGAGCATGAATAATATTTATCATGAAGCATCTCAATAATCGTTACATACAGGATATACAAAAAACTTCCAAACTCTTGTCTGATTTGGTGAAAGATTTATCATCAGATCTACAGAGGAAATTTCTTTATTATCATTCATTACTACAATGCAGGTTAATATTATATAAAAATATACTTTTGTAATTCGCTGGTCTTCCTGATTCTACACTATATTTTTATTCAACATGTTGATGTTTTTCTTGTTTGATGTAAACGTTCATCGTGTATATTTCATTTTTTAAACGATGTTTGACAATTAAAATCTAGAGAAAGACAATTAAAAAACGAACTTAAATCCTGGTACAAGGTTCATTCCGAATACCTTACGGATCAGGTAACTTTACAGATTAGGTTATTTTATCAGGTTATTATAAAATACTGCTTTGTGAATTATTTTTCAACACAGGAGAGTTCAATCACGGAACACATTGCTAGTGCTGAATTGACTATTGATGGTAATTTATTTTGTTGTTTTTTTGTCACAGCCAAACATACGATATAATGTATTTAGTAATATAATTAATATTTATCAGTATTTTTATTTTTATTTTGATGTGAATTAATGGCTCAAGTGCTGTGATTTTGTGCATTTATAGCTTTGAAGGTATAAACAAGTTTTCATTAATTCAGTAGACACAACAAAGACAATATGTTTTTGATAGTATGAGGTTTTTTCACAGACAGCAAATATTGGCCTTTTTATATACCTTGGCGCTCCTAATTTTTAAATATATTCTTTCTTTTTACGGATGTTTATTTAAAGTGATTAATTACGTGACTCATAACTTTTTGAAACAGAGGTTTGCAAAATTGTAGAAGACCGCCCAAATGAAGGAATTGATTTTGATACTATTTTTACACGACTTGAAGAAATCAATGATTTTTCTTTTCATTTGAAGACTGAGTTTGTTGATTACATAAAGAGGTAAACCATAAAAGAGTTTAACGTTAAAATTTATTTTCAATAAATATTTCGCTCATAATGCTTTTTTCCTTACAGATGCTCCGTGGTTAATGACGAACACTTACATAAAGTGATAAACAATTTAAAGATTGAATTGGTCCTTAACAATGCTTCATCGACAGCCTCCTTCCCAATTTCACAAATTTCATTCCTCAATACCGATTTTTCCGGCAACAAGCTTTCCAGTCCATCAGGTTTGTTAACTAGTCATTTTATGCTAGGGATTCATTAAGTTGAGTTATCACTTACAGTTGGCCCAACTTTGGCTCAAGACACCAAAACTTTCAAAAAGCTATCACCATATGTTAAAATTAAAAACAAGAAAACCACAAGTTTTGCAGGTTTTTATTTTGTTTTTTTTTTTTATTTCTAAATCTCTTCAAGTGTTTGCTAATAAAATAAAATTTAAATAAAGATGTTTTACTTCTGTGTCTCTTATTTAACGTCTTCATATTTGAACATTTTTTCATCAAATCCATCAACATGACCAAACCCTATTCACCTGCCATCTAGCCTAATAACTCTCCAGTTATTACTTCTTCTCATAAGATTATTTAATTAACATAGCATGAAGAAATGAATAATGTTTTTTAAATCTTAAATTCCGGAATATTCGTCTAACTTGAATTGAATACAGTATTTTGGATTTCAATTCCTTTACAATACATTTTTATATTATCAGATGTAAAGAAAGATGTGAAAGTTTTGGTGACTTGTGTAAATGATCCAGGACACTTCTACATTCAAACCACTCTGCACCACAATAGATTGAAAATTTTGGATGAAAAAATTAAATCTTACTGCGAGCAATTCTTGAGCATTGCAAACAGAAGCGTAAACTCATCTGACTATAAAATAAGTTTGTTAATTTTTTAATATTTATAAATTAAACTTTTTCAAATTTAATGCCTTGAAATTTCTGCTAGGAGTTAAAATTTTTGACTCCTTTTAAGATTTAGATTCGTTACAACATTTGTCAATGGAGCATTTCAGACTATATTATCTATTTTTTGTTTTTTGCAATTGTCTATTCTGAAAGCTCTTTGCTCGGGCATTTTTTTACCCCCAATCTGAAACTTTTTGTTCTCATACAACATTGAACTCTAATGCTTATTGAGTTGTTGGTTTTCAATATAAACGTCATTGAAAAACTTGCGAATGTATTTTTAAACAATATATTGTATTACATTATATATTACATTATATTTATCTTATATCATAAAGTCCTACTGGTATACACATTCGTATTTTTTAAGATGATATCGTTCTATCCAAGTTTTCACTGGAAGATAAATGGTGCAGAGCTGTTATAGTGGGAATTAATATTGCTGATGATGTCAATAAAGAAATCAAAAATGAGAATGGCGACACATTGAATGAATGTACCACTGAATCGATCGTGCTTGAAGAACCAGGCTCTCGTTCAACAGACTCATCACTTGATACAGTTACACTGCGTTTCATAGATTACGGCAATGTTGAAACTGTTACTTGTGAAAAGTTAACATTTTAATAATTTATTTAATAATTTATTTCAACTGATTTCATTATTCTCAAAATTTTTTCAATTTTTACATTTTTTTACATAATTTGATACACTTCATGCTCGGCCCACGTTACAAAGTCATCGTTATTAGTGAAATGGTGAAACTGGACAATCAATATTAACTTTTCAAAAGGAACTACAATTGCAAATCATTTAATAGAAAGTGGATAATTTTTTCTATTTTTTTTTTCACTGAAAGATTATTGATTACTGAAGGCTTTTAAAATGTGAGCATTGTGTGCAGTGTGGAGAGGCGAAAAGAGAAAAGAAGATTTGTGTTGGAAATATTGGTGAGATCTAGTTGGAATGAAAGTTAGAATGGAGAGGTCTGCAGAGAAAATTTTTTTTTAAAAGATAAGATTACCAGTTCATAATGTGAGATGGCATTGATATGAGGAAGTAACATACAGATGAGGCAGTGGCTAAAAAGAATACAAAATAACTTGTGTCTCCTGAATCTACACCTGATGCTTTATTTATGACATGACGGTTATAGGATAGGTTTTCGTGGTTTTGGCACTATTGATAGCAAAATTTGAGGAGTTGATTTGATGTGGCAATGTGCACTTGCATTCATGAAGGATCATGAATGAGATGGTGATTGTTGTTTGCATTATATCGAAGTTCAGCATTGAGTTCCTTGCAAGTTGCCAATGGCTATGGATGTGCTGAGTAAAAAGTGGATAGCTCTTCATGTTTGCAGTTGTGGTGGACAAAACTTCATGTTGATAGTTGTGGTTCATTGTAGAAAAATCTAACAGAAAAAAAGATCTGTAGACTTAATAAATGGTTTAATATTGAAGATGTTAACACGAACAAAAACAAATTGATCAACATTTTTTTGTAGTTTTCATAAGATTATCCTATTTTTCATAAATTAAGTTATAACATTCTAAAATCTTCCAAAAAATTGCTGCTAATTTTTTGCATAAATTCCACAAAAAATGTGGTAAAGAAATGTTTCCACCAAATGTACATTTATATTATTCATTAATTTACTTTTTTTATTGTAATTATGTGTATGCGTGTTATTTTCAAACATATTTCGCCTGGTTTATAAAAATAATTTTTTTGAAAATTTGCACCGTACAATATTGACATTCAGCGTCATCATGGCTCCTGCGGAATTTCATTTTCCAAAAGGATATGCCCAAAAATGTTGTTTGTCTGATGTCGTGCCTCTAGGAGATCGGTGGTCTGAGGAAGCAATTGAAGCATTCACGAAGATGGTCACAAACAGGATCATGAACATGATTGTAAATCTTTTTTTTATTTCAATGAGCGTTTTTAGACTGAAAATGTAAGCAAAAAAAATAATAATTGTTTGTAAATTTTATATTAGCTAATTTAAATATCGTTGAACGCATTTACAAGTGAAGTCACTAAAGTGGTGAGGTGGTGATGCTTTAGGGTGACGGTGTTGCGATCTGAATGGAATTTTTTAAATCTCTTTCAAGGAATATAAAAATGAAGAAAGTGAGGTGGCACATGTAGATCTCATTGAACAAAGTTTGGAAGGATTTCTAGTCAGCTGCCGAGCCTCAGTCAGAGACATGCTGGTATTCCTAGAATTTGCATCCTTCAAAGATATGGCTACAAGCCT